TTGGAATAAAGACCGTATATATGCTGTGGTTGTGGTTGTCGTGAATCAGGCTGACTGAAATATGAACCTGGGAATTCAACCCAAAGCCTCTGGCTGCCAAATACGCCTCCTATTGAATAAAAAGAGCTTGAATTTGGAAATAAAACCATCCTACAAAGGTCTACATAGTTATTTCTCCTACCAGAATTCCATTAGGGATATAAGTGAATAAGTACCACAGATGGAAGAAAATAAGTTTAAAAGTATAAATAACCAGTGAGAGTCTTTGGAGAAAAGTCCTTTTTTCTAATCTTAATACACAGAGACGATAAACTGTCCAAGTAAAGAGGTGAAAAATGAAAAGAAAAAATGCAAACTGAAGAGAAAATACATAAAGTTAGAGATAAATGAGTCGAGGGAGCTTGAATAGAGCGGGCACATATTTCCTGAATCCCTGCTGACTCATGGCGAGCAGGTCTTTTTCTTTTATAGTCAGATCCCATGCACGGGTGGGTTCAGTCAATAAAGTTCACAGCGTCTCTGAGTGTTTGGAAGAGGTGAGTATCACCAGAGACTCCGCCGGTGAGTTTGGCAGTGAGTTAGAAGGCCGGAGGGGGGAAGAGATTTTCTTTATACATGTTTTAGACTCATACTGGAGACACTAGATTACTCACTGCACCGTCGGGGCTGCATGAACTAGTCTGTCTGCCCACCTTTTCTATGTTTGCCAATGCATGTTACAAAAGGTAAACATCAGTATAGCACTCTGCACCCTGCAAAAAAACTGTCCTAAACCAAGAAAAGTAGACCTATACTCCGTTCCCTCTTCCTGCATTACCTTACCAAGATTATTTCACCGATAAGACCTGCTGCAAAACGTCGGGAAAACTACCTGTCATGCAGAAAAGAAAGTCAGCATTTCTTAAAGAGCTCTTGGGGAGTTGTTTTGCACATACTGCTAGTGTCCGTTTTCAGTCGCCCACGGTGGAAATGCTGACCCACAAAGCCAGAACAAGCAAGAGCAAACAGTGGGTACAGGCTGAAAAATACTGACTGAAGCGGACTGCCCAGGAGAGCACGAACATAATCCTCGTGTTTTTTTCTGGTGTGACTATAAATTGCATTTCTGGGCTATAGGATGTCTGAGCTGAGGTACTTTCCATGATGTTGAAAGATGTTGACAAATACGCTTGTATTGAACACATACAGTACATATGGGTTTAAAATCAGTCAAAAATGCCCCAAAAGTAAGTGCTATATTCCTCATACTGTACCCTGACAAAGTAGGCACCTTGTCAAAAAAATCTAACTTTTCGCTGCAGGTGCATCTGTGAAAGCGCTGAGTCTGAGTCCTTATACCGTCAATGATCCAGAGATAATTTCTTGCTTGTCCTCATAAACGCCATAAAAAGTTCTCCTTAACTCACACAAAATGTCAGGAATAGTTTACGAGCTGGGAGAAGCATTTTGAAGACAGTTCTGTAAATGTACTTTAATGTATCAGGAACTTAAGGAAAAAAGTCCAAAAGCATCTCTGAGGAAGTTTGTCATCACCTGCAACACTGACATCTTAAAGGCACATCTGATGAAATGGACTGAAGCGCGGGCTGAATGGGAGTAACCACTGACACGACAATAAAGATACTGACTGAAAAGAAAAGGAGTGCACACTGGCTACTGTTTTCTCATCCAACTTAACACCCATTTACACAGACGGGACCTCTCAGTGGTGTGTCCACAACCTAATCTCCACCAATCAAGCAGACAAAAACAAAGCAAACAAAGCCGGCCGGGTAGACGGGAGGATTGTCTGGGTGGTCCCTGTTTCAAACTGACAGCTTACAGAGCAAACAGGCTGTTTTGTGCGCCGTACGTGTTTTTGAGTGTAACTGTAGACCCAGGTGTTAAAGTTGAGAGGAATCTGGATTTTGTGTGTTGTTTTTGTGAGAGCTGGGATATCATCGGAGCCCTCGGGCCAGCCCCGCCTATCAGCAGCGTTTATTTGGAAGAGATTTATGCACCTGTGTTGCTCAAGTGTAGAGTGCAAGGTTTCTCACATGCACATATCCATCTAATTCCTTCCATGCCAGGTTATTTGACTGAACTAATCCTGCGTCATACCCTTACTCTTCAATCCTTTTAACAAAATACTGAGGATTTTAATCATCATGATGCTCAGGTTTGTTCAGGACTGTGAAAAATCTTGAGAACAGCTGTTGCTTTGTTCAGCAGTTCAGCCGATCGCCTGTCAGTGAAATATGATTGAACCCTGATAGTGCTCTTAGTGAGTTATAAATAAAGCCACTGTGACAGGAGTACCAGGAAATATGTGAGTGTTTTATGGAAGTATAGAAAGAGGCCTTGTCTTCGACTGCCAATGTGTCATGTGGTCGAGTCTTGCAGAAGTAATTCATTTCTATGGAGTTGGAGCAAAAACAACTCAGACCTTGAGGTTTATAGCTAAAGAAAATGCCTCAAAAGTTTGAACTTCATGTCACTAAGGTCAGTAAACAGTGATAAAACAGATAAGTCCTCGATTGAGTTACTTGTTTGCTACTTAAATACTTCTCATACTGGTTAATTAGAGCACAGTGAGCGGACATAACAAGACAAGACAAGACAAGACAAGAGGAGACATTTGACCTCAGTCCAGTCTTTCAGGCTGATTAAACCAGCCTGCAGTCCAACAGAAGGGAAAAGAGAACAGTCTGTAAGAGACACAACAGGGTTATATTAAGAAATCTTTATTTTTAGTTGGAGCAGGTAGAGAGGTGGTTTAGGGTCAAAGGGATTCACCAGTGAGTGAGGAAGCCTCATGGAGATGATGTCAGACCAGATCTCTTCAACATCTGCGGTGGGAGGGACTCCCGGACTGTCATCCAGCCCTGCGTTTACACGGGGGTCTGAGTCAGATCAGTAAAATTCACAAGTTGAGACTCATCTGTAGTCACATCAACCCCGGAGAAAACATAAACACAGTCGCTGACATTTGGAAACTGTTTTGTCTTACTGAGGAGACTGTAAGGAGACTGCAATGATATCAGAGCGTCTGCTGCCCTCTACTGGACAAAGAGACAAACTTGAAGTCATTTACAAACAGCCAGTGGACAGCACTGAGTCACAGCTGGCCCTCGAACGAATAAGAGAACAGGATGGTTTTGTAGGAGAAATATTTATTGTTCATTTTTAGAAAAGGCTAAAAAAAAAAAGGTTTAGGTATACATGTTTATGATGTCTGGTCCAGTATCTTTAAACCTTTGAAATTAGGAACTTTATGCACTTATTCTGTCTTGGTGTGATTTCTGAGCTTTTCAAGAAACATTGTTTTGTGGTCACAGTCCATTTAAAATGCAGCTTAGTGATTAAAAAGAGCAACACGTCATGTCGAGCTGCATCCCAAAACAGAAACACTTAGCTTGGACACCCTGTGTGCCGCCTCGAAATCTGTGATAGAGACACCTTTGCCCTGAAAGTAGAACTTTTTTATTTAAAGGGATATTCTGGCATAAAATTAATTTAGGGTCAAACACACTATAACACCAAGTTAGACACCCCTCGAGAGATGAATGTTGCCGACAGCTTGCTTCTCTAGTTATACCAACTTTAGTAAGGACCGCAGATAGCAATACAGAGAGCCACACACTCGACCAAAACACCACTCTATGGCCACAAATAATGCTCAGAACAGCACCTAACTTCATCAACAGTACATATAGGGTCCCAGCCATAGCACTAGACACCAAACATCTTTTTAACTTTGCCTGATTTCTTGAGCAAAGAGACTAAACACAACTCACCTACTCTCTTCCAGCAGCCGCTTGTTTGTACAGAGACCTCGGGCCAGTCCATTACGGACTACATTTATGATAATTTCTTCATGGAAATACAATCATACCGAGAACGCTAAGGCAGAAGAACTACCTCATCTGCAGTGCAAAATGATTAATATGGAGATTATTACGTCAAGGAAATGATAAAGAAATGATCATGCGGTCAGTCAGCAACAGTCATCTCTTGATGGGGTGTCAAACTTGGTGTTACTGTGTGTTTGACAAAATACAAATCATGTCTTAATCCAGCTCTTCATGTATCTCACATTTACAGCATTTTAATCTCACCCCACTTCCAGTGCACATTGACTATGCCAGATAAAAAACTGGGGACAGAGGCTCAGAAACCAGTCTCATCCCTTATGTTTAACCCTACCCCTTACTTTCCAGTGCCCCTTTGCCCTATGGTGTTAGAAGATGAAGTGATAATGAAGACTTCTCCTACAAAATGGGACATGCAGTCAAGATCTTGATGTGTCATTGTTAGCTGGCTAGCTGTTGATGCTAAGTCATCAGCATCTTCTACCTGCCATGTAACAGTAAACTAAGAGAGACAAGGGCTGTCAGTAACATACACAAAGCAGCTGCACCAATAACTGTAAATTTTAGGATTAAAAATGAGGGGTCTGAGGATTGACCCCTCTGGAACCGCAGATAAAGTTTTTCTTTTGACAGATTCAGAGATACAAACACGAGTTTATTTAAATTAATTTTCTTTATTAAACTAAAGAGAGACAGGAAATGTCACAGGGAGGAAAAGGATCAGGGCAAGAACGTTTTGCGGTACTTTGAGAGCAGGTGTGTAGCTTCTGCTGATAATAACAGCCAGATTTTTTCACACCCAGTTTTTATTAATCATACAGTTTATCTTCTTATTCAGAGTATTGGAGGTTTCATCTAACGTCTGAAGGTTTCAGACGTTAGATTATCAGTTTTTCTCCACAGGCCCAACCACTACACATCCTGTCTCACACACCGTCTTACATTAGATCAAACAGAAGATAAGAAAAGAAGAACCTCTCGTCAACACTTTCTTTTTTTCATGCAGATTGCTTAAGACAGATAATATCTACTCTTTTTCCATACTTCCTCACTGATGATAGGCTCATTTACGTTTCACAACTACGAATGTCAAGTTAGGTAAAGCACTCTGCAAGACACCATCATTCATTGGAGCCTTTGTGGGCATCAAGACAAGAGGACAGAGCTCCAACTTTTGATTATTACCCTTCCTGAGCAAGAAGACAAGAAAACAGGTAAATCTTCTTTTTCTCCAAACTTGCATCATAATTGGCGATGTTCAAGGTGATGGAAAGTTTGAAGGCAAAGTCTAATACTACTGTCTCTCTTTATTATGAGATATATTGTGTAATATCATAATACAATTTAATGTAATTGTGTCATCCCAAATTATGATATTTTGCCCATTTGAAACTGTATTTGAAACGGTTTGTTGTTACTGTAAAGCAGCAGCATCAAGCGATATCATACATATAGCCTATCAGTTGGGAGGCATTAGTAAGATAGAGACTCTGGCCTCACCTTTGACCTTTGTGAACCACAGCAGAGCAGTCTCAAAAAGAGCTCTCGTCAACTTCAAATATGACCGACATTAGGAACTTCACAAAAACTGAGAAAGACTCAACCAAACTTTTATTTTACGTGTTTTTTTTAACCATATGGTCAATGCAGCTCATTCAGGATGCAGGCTCTACAGTTCTGACCAAGGTTCAAATAAATGGAGGTTAACTGGCTTCTTGTTAACAACAGAGGAGATTTTCAGGTGTCCCTGCGAGTCACTGAATGGCACAGTGACTTGCAGGGACACTTCTGATTTGTATGAAATTTATCAACCGATCAGAAACCTTAGATCTGAAGACCTAGGTCAGCCACGACAGCCCAGAGTACAGCTAAACCATGGTGATTCAGCAATGGCCACTGACTGAAACAAACTGTCATAAGAAATTAATCTTTGAGTTTGATATCAAGGACTTGGTATGTTACACTTTTTTATTTTTCCCTTTTAGATGGAGGATTCTGAAGCGGATTACTTTGCATCCCTTTTCAACAGCTCCTCTTTTGAATATGAGGATAAAATATTCACCCCCTGCAATGAAACTGTGCCTGGATTTAACAGCTTGGGCTTGACCATCACCTACATCGTGGTGTTTGTCCTCAGTTTGGTGGGCAACAGTGTTGTTGTGTATGTGGTTTGCTACATGAAGAAAGGAAAATCAAGTACAGATATCTACCTGATGCACCTGGCGATTGCAGACCTTCTCTTCACCCTGACCCTCCCGTTCTGGGCCGTCTATACTCACTCTGGTTGGATCTTCGGCACGTTCACATGTAAACTCCTGTCAGGCTTTCAGGAGGCCTCTGTCTACAGCGGTGTCTTCCTGCTCGCGTGTATCAGCGTGGAGCGCCACTTCGCCATAGTGAGAGCGACGCGTGCGATGTCCCCCTATCGGCTGTTGGTGAAGGTGGTTTGCTGCGTGGTGTGGCTGGTGGCTGGAGTGCTGTCCTTACCTGTGGCAATACAAAGGGAGAGCTGGCTTGCTACAGAGCATGGCGAGTATATTTGCTATGAAAACCCTAAAGGAGAGAGCAGTCATAAGTGGCGTGTTAGCATCCGGATTCTACGACACACGGTTGGCTTTTTCCTGCCGCTATTAGTGATGGCCGTCTGCTACGGCTGGACTATGCTGACATTGTGCCACGCCCGAAATCAACAAAAGCACAAGGCCATGCGCGTCATCCTGGCTGTGGTGTTGGCCTTTGTCCTATGCTGGCTGCCTTACAACGTCACAGTCCTGATTGACACGCTCATGAAAGGTGACACAATAAAAGTGGAAACATGTCAAATGCGTTACACGGTGGAGGCCGTTTTCAACGTGACCCAAGTGTTGGCGTTCACTCATTGCGCGGTGAACCCGGTGCTGTACGCTTTCATCGGGCAGAAGTTCCGTAACGAGCTGCTCTCTGCTCTCTTCAAACACGGCCTCATCAGCAGGAGGCTCCAGATGGCTTTTAGGAAGGGCTCGGTCAACAGCATGGGGAGCAACAGATCCAGGAACACCTCTGCGACTACCTTCTAAAAACTCAATACGAAGCCTCCAGCTCCAGGCTCACATGGAGGTCATTTTCAATTTCCCTGCTATTGGGCGAATGACAAAAATACAGAAGAGTTCGATGCTGTTTAATAAGCCATCATTCTATTTTCTGACGGTCATATTTGCTTTTGTTTATCGTAGGAAAACATCGGTGTGAATTACAGTCTGTTTCATAAATGTCCAAAAACTCGTCGCAGGAGCTTTAAAGGGATATTCTGGCGGAAAATTAAGTTGGAGTCAAACGCACCAAGTTAGACACCCCGTCGAGAGATGAATGTTGTCGACCGCTTGCTTCTCTAGTTTGACCAACTTTAGTAAGAAACGCATGATAGCAATACACCAGAGCCATAAACAAACCTCAACCAAAACGCCACTCTATAGCCACAAATAATGCTCAGAACAGCACCTAACTTCATCAACAGGACATATAGGGTCCCAGCCATCGTACTAGCCACCAAACATCTTTTTAGCTTTGCCTGATTTCTTAGCAAAGAGACTAAACACAACTCACCTACTCTCTTCCAGCAGTTGCTTTTTTTGTATGGAGACCTAAGGCCAGTCCATTACGGACTACAGCGGGGTGACGCAGCTCAAGGAAGAACATTTATGATCATTTCTTTATCATTTCCTTGAAATAATAATCATCATATTTATCATTTTGCTCAGCAGAGGCAGTAGTTCTGCTACCTTAGCAGCTCAGTCTAATTGCATTTCCATGAAGAAATTATTTGGCTATAGAGTGGCTTTTTGGTTGAGGTTTGTTTATGGCTACTGAGACCGCTGTGTATTGCTATCATGCGGTCATTACAAAAGTTGGTATAACTAGAGAAGCAAGCGGTCGGCAACATTCATCTCTCGAGGGGGTGTCTAACTCAGTGTTACGGTGTGTTTGACCCTAAATTAATTTTACACTGGAATATTCCTTTCAGGTAAAAATTGGCCACTGGACTGAGATCATTTTAAGCACGATGAGACAAAAGTTATGGAATCCACATTATCTTTGAAACAGTAATTCAATTGGAGAGACTTATGTTAATAGATTATTATTGGCTTTTCAACAGAGTTAAAACAGAGACTGATGCTTATAAATTTACATTAGCTTTACACTGATAAAAATGATGGGACTGATGCTTGTAGTTGAAGCAGCTGGAAAGCAGACAGGTCCACAGCAGGGTGTCATTAAGATTCAGTTTCAATGATAGAAGATTGAAAAGTAGAGCAAGGGGCTCAGTGTACCAGTTCCCCTCGCAGTCTAAATTTATAGCAGCTGAGAATAAAAAGCATCAAAAACCTAAATCAGCTGTTGGCATGCTTAAACCCTGATGACATGGCTACTATAATGATTTTATGGTATGCCATTGAAGGAGTTTATAGGAAAGCTGCACAGCCATTGACTCTGTTGGTGTAAATTTCTATTCTAAAAGCTAAACTGAGTTTTATTTCTTTCTACTGCATTTGTAGGATTTTTGCAGCTTGAATTCTTTTGATGTTGAATGTTTTCTTCTTTCTTTTTTGGACCTATGAAGGCATATCATGTTATTTTACAATATTAGCATTTAGACTTGTTGACCTTTAGTTTTGATTAGAGGAAGTTTCTTTTTGTTCTTACAAAACACAGTCACGAAAACACAAAAAATTGATGCAGAGAGATAACCTAAACAGGAAGAAGTGGTGAGACCAGCTCTCTGTTTTTCAAAAACAAAGGTACTCTTATCCACCTGAAGGATCTGAATACTTTTTTAAAATCTTTGTTCTTTGTGGTTATTGCAAAAAATGTCAATTTTTGTCAACATTCTACTTTGTAACTAATACTTATATATTCTTGTATATCATGGTGTGTGTGCATGTGCGTACCTTTGTGGATAGCCTGACGTAAATAGATTTAGCTTCTTTAGAAACTGTGCAATGTGCAGTCATGGTTGAGAAACACTGAGAGGAAGTTTGCACATTGTTTGCCCACATGAATTAAAAAAAGATAAGTAAAAATCATTTGAGATATTTTTTCAGTTTATTCTTATCAATATGAAATACAGGAAAGCTTTTATATTCTGTGTACAGCTAGATCGACTGAATTTAGTATTATTTGATGAAGCCAGGATTAATTCCAACATCTTTAAAAACAAAAAACAAAAACAAAATAAAAAAACCTCAAACTATTTTTTGTTTGTTTGTTTGTTTTCTTGCTCTCTTTTTTGGATTTATGAAATGCTGCAAAGTTCAATGCTGCTACATGTTGTTTCCCTTATTATTCATCAGGACACAGTTTTGTTGCCAATTAAAAGCATGCAAGCACTGTTGAGATTGATGTAGTTTTTACTTGGTTTTAAAATAAAGATGTTGCTGTTGATGAACGATTTCAGCAGCTCAGTTTGGGGTCTCCTTTGTCCTATTTTTTTATTTCATATTGGACCATATCAAAGCCTGTGTTGTTCAGCATTCCCTGTGTCATAAACAGTTATGCCTCCTTATACCAAGACAGATGCTGGCTTTGGAACAGATAACATGTGAGCTGGTCGGGTTCCTTTTTAGAGTTGGGGATGCAACATCCATGATTTCCAAAGAGGATGTTAGAATTTAATTCATCTGATCACAGGACTGTTTTTCTGTGATTACATTTGAGATATTTTACAAGTTTAATAGTCCAACAAACAAACAAACATGAGAAAAAAAACTCTGTCTGTGCAGATTGCAAGAGTACTTACAGCTTATATCAACAGATAAAAGAGTGATAATGCACATTTATGCAATAAAAACAATGACAAACAAGACACTATATAATATAAATGTATCAATTGCTTACATTGCACAGCGTTGGTTGAAGCTAGCCTATATTTTATTCCTTGGCTTTTGACCCAGCATGAGACAGCATTTGTTTTATTGCTTTTTATATTTTAAAATAACTATTTATTGTTGTTTTATGTTTTTATGTTATAATGTATAGCACTATGTGTCAGCTTTGGTTGTATTTAAAGTACTCTATAAATAAAGTTGAGTTGAGTTGAGTTGACTATATAGACAGTCCACATGGAAACTATTGGTCAGTTAGAGAAAAGGAGGTTTATTCTGAACATTTGTTTTGCCTAGAACGACAATGAACAGTGAAAAGACGATCTCAGAAATGTCCAGATTCTGCTTTATATCTGATAAAAAATGAGGAAATAAATACAGGAAGTTTGTTGTTCATTTTTAATTATTTGACCTCATTTTGATCATTTCATTTAGCGCTTTTGGTTAAAAAAATGTCACATTAAAAGCTTTCTAAAAACATTTAAAACATTTATTCCTTTATCACATTTTTCTTTATTACTGTAATTATTACAAACCCACTGTCTCCTCCAGCTGATCGTATAAAGAGTGATGTCAACAAGTGAATGACCAAACAGATTTTTTTAATTACTCAAGAGCTTCATAGATGAATAAAATCAGCTATTACAAAACCTGACGGGTTAATTGGGAAAGATTTCTGAACTGAAAAAGGCTGTGTACATAATCAGTGTTGTCAATTGATCAATCAATCAAATTTTATTTATGTAGCGCCAACTCACAACAGTCATCATCCCAAGATGCTTTCCAAAGAAAAAGAGCAGGTCTAGACCAGGCTCATTGTTTGATGAATTATCAAGACCCAACCTAAGATGGGATGGTTGTGTCTGATTCGTTCCCACTCCAGAAATCAATGGAGGCGCTAAAGGGTTTAATTGGTTGATAAATAATGAATAATTCCCTTCTCCTAGCTGTTCACAATGCTGTCAAGCTCCACTGCCATCTAATATAAACGTCTCTCTTTGATTAGAATTAACAATCTCTGACACAAATCTCAATTTATTAATTTCAAAATTAATTTCACTAATATTCGAAATTATGGGACTTGAGTGCATAGACATAGTAATCTTTATATCTTATATTTTATTATTTTATAGATATTTTTTCATATATTTTATCTTTAATAATCCTTATTTTAATCTTTTTCATCTTTATTATGTCTACGCTTGAGTGTTTTTCCTGAGTGGGCGTGGTCAAAGCTTTACGTAGGCGGATAGCATGTAACCATAGAAACAGCATAGTCGCAGCTCGTCTGTTGACTCTGCAGAAGCTAACTACATGAGCAATAACCGCGTTTATCGGCCTGCTTGACAATTTTTAAAACCTTGGAGGGAAAGTACTTACATCTCGACCTGTCAGGTAACATCGATGCGTAGCGAATGTTGGTTTTCCTAAGCCAGTTTACCGGTTTTATCCCCTTAGCGAAGAATGTAGCTTTAGCGTCCGAGGTAAGCAAGAAGAGTTCCGTTAACGGTTTGGCCGACTACTTCCGTTACAGTTTCAAAATAAAATAGAAGTGTTTCTCAAATACGAATTTGAAGTATAAATTATAATTTAACTTACTATTATTACTTATTATTACCTTATAATGAACTTATTAGTCACTATTTCCAGTGGTAAGCAAACAAACCCTTGCCATTTAATATGGGTTGTGACGGTAGTCCTGCAATTAATGCATTTTTTTTTTCAGTCGGAAAGTAGCCTATATTTGGATAAGGTTAAAGATTGAATTTCTAAGTTTGACATTATAACTAAGATATTTTTTCGCTTGCTCGCGTTGGTACCTTAGATTTAAAATGCATTGTTATATGCCACCTATTGCTTTTTTCATTTTAGCTTTTACATCTCAAGTGGGCGTGAAAAAAGGACTGCAATAGGCTCTAAAACGTTTTGTTTCATCATAGTTTTAACGTTATAATTTGACCTAAATATTTAACTTTGTTCGAAACTTCAAATATTTGACGTTTGTTTATGTCGATGACCACTCAGGTTGAAATAGTTGCGGCTTTTATTTTGAAGGGGCTAGCCTGACACTGGATACCGTCATGTTTTTAAAAGAGACAACTTCACTTTTTATCTTTCGCAACGTCCCTGCAACAAATGTTTAAAATGATACCTGATACCTGTGCTTTAATTGTGGTACTAACCGGAAGAGACACGCTTTAAAATGGAGCAGAAAATGAGACGGCTGGATACAAAAAACATCATTAACTCACTGTAGTCGGTCACTTTGTTTGCAAGTAAAGTAATATGGTTGATCCATGCTTTTTTATGGACACTTCCAGGTGTAATTTGATCATTTGTCCCTCTTGTAGGGTCTTAAGAAGCTAAAGAAGATGTCAAATGATCTTGCTGGTGTTTGGGAGGTCGCACTGAGTGATGGAGTCCACAGGATAGAGTTTGAACATGGCACGACCACCGGGAAGAGGGTCATCCTTGTAGATGGAAAGGTATGCAGCTGTAAGAATGTCAACTGTTTATGAATCACAGCCTCTCACAGTCAGTTGGTAATATCAGACTTTTTCCCATCATGTTGCAGGAGGTGTTGAGGCGAGACTGGATGTTCAAACTTGTGGGGAAAGAAACGTTCAATGTGGGCAAATCTGACACAAAAGCAACCATCAACATTGATGCAGTCAGCGGGTTTGCATATGAGTACACCTTGGAGATCAACGGGAAGAGCTTGAAGAAGTACATGGAGAACAGGTCAAAGGTCACAAGCACCTGGGTGTTGAACCTTGACGGCGTTGACTGCAGGGTGGTCCTAGGTGAGCCTCTCTTTGAGTGTAAATGGATATTTCATAGAGTGATTTCCGCCCCCCCCCCCCGAGAACCATCCACTATTATTATGTTGACACTGAGGCTAAGCTCTTTAACAGCTTTAAGCACCATGCACCACTATCCTGGACGGTTAATCCTCCTTTTAATTACCGCTTGCAGTGTATCAGGCGGCACGACACCTGCAGACATGTGCAGCACATTAGCACGACTGCACGAGTGCGCAAATCTGATTTATGCATTACACCCATAACATCATTTTGATACATCTCGTCAAGCTTTGGCAGTGTAAGACGGTTGACCCTTGTCGCTAGTGAGCTTCTGGTCGTCTGCTGTAGCCTCGCTGTAGGAGCCTGTAATCTTACCAATGTAGACAGCGGTCACATAACAATCAGGACAGCGGTCTCATGCTTTTGCTCTGGGAAGCCACAAGCTGATTAGATAAACAAAACCCTTAAAACAAGACACAATGGCTGACAGCGCTGGAGAAAAGAAAAGACTACAGCCATGTAGAACACTGGTTTTCAACTGGTCTCACTCTGGAAACCACATTCCCCATGGTCCTTAAGTAACAACCATAGACTGTATATACTATAGACAACTTGGTTCTGCCTCCCGCCAGTATACTGATTTTAAGACAAAAAGCTCTCGGTATTTCTGTGATTTTTCTTCATTTCCTGAAACCAGTGCTGCGCAGTAGCGTTGTGGGCATTTGGCTGGAGAGCGCTGTGATGACGCTCGGCTCAAACAGCGTATCCCCCGGGTGAGATACGCAATCCCTGAACGCCAATAGGCTGTATCAGGTGTCAATCAAAGAAAACATGAACCCCCTAATAACTTTTACAAAACAGAGCTTCACAGAAAAAAGAGGACTTGAGCACAAACTAGTCTTACCATAACTACATGTCAACATCACAAGCAGGGGGGAGAAAAATTTGTCCACAGCTTCATAAGCTTTGCTGGCGGAGGCAGGATTTATGACCTATACTGCAGCCCATCAACAGAATGTGTTGTTCTCGGAGTGGCTTCACCCAGCAAGGAGGCAGACTCTGTCCATTCTATATACAGTCTATGGTCACGACCCACTTTTATAGAATTCAGACCAAGCAAATTCACTTTTTTCTAAACAAACCCTTCAAAGACTTAAATCTTTAACACAAATACACCCGTTTTATCAAGTAAAGTGCATTTCAGGGCACATGACAACTACTGAAGTTGCATATACAGAAAATATCAAGTAAATATTAAATTACACAAAATAAGCTATTTTTCAAAATAAAAGACATGTCAAACATCAGATGCGCATTAAATATTTTCTTTTTTGACCAGCTGTTTGCGACCCATCCAGAACGTCTCAGCGACCCACTTTTGGGTCGGGACCCACCAGTTGAGAATCACTAATAGAGAAAACACTCTGGGACAAATTTAGTTAAATTAAATACTTTATCCACTCTGAAAGTTTCATTGATTCAGTTTATGTATTCTGTCTTTCAGAAAAAGACACCATGGATGTTTGGTGTAATGGACAAAATATTGAAACTGCAGTAAGTATGACCAACAGAAATTTTAGATGAATTTGATACCAAGAGAAATCACTATCAAAAGTGCAGCTGAGCTTCTGCCTGTACTACACTTGTTCTCTTTCTTATTGTTCTCTTTCGTCCACCCTTTCATATCTGCAGGGCGAGTTTGTGGAAGACGGCACAGAAACACACTTCACGCTCGGAGACCACAACTGCTGTGTAAAGGCCGTGAGCAGCGGGAAGAGACGAGACGGGATCATTCACACCCTGCTGGTGGACGGCACAGAGATAGCCGAGTGCACAGAGTGACTGTGTCAGTGGGTGTGTGCACATGTGTGTTTGCAATTGTATGAAAGCAGAGGATATGTGTCAAGTATCTGTTTAACAGAGGGAGTGTGTAGAGCAGATCATCGTCTTTTTAAGCTGTAAGAGTCGGGGAATGACCTAACAGAGACATTCACTCCTGTGACTGGATGGCCATCATCCATTTGCTGTATTTGTTCTGTCAGCGTGAGGTAATAAACACAAACTTGAAAATTCACCTGCAGTCTGGGCTGGAGGATACGGACATAAATCTAGAGAATAAATTAAGTATCTCAAACCAAAAAATTAAAATGTCCTTTTTTAATTTCTTTTTTTAACACATCTTCAGTTATGTTCTGAACTTTGATGTGCCATATTTATCTAATTCAGCCTGGAGCAGCTGGATCTGGTCACACAAGCAGCAGTTTAGATGTTCTGTTTCTGTTGTTATAACCCTGTGATCATCCTTGTATTTTCAAACATGACAAACTACATGGATTAAAGACCACTCCTTCGTCGCTATATCACCCCACTGTGAGCTGCTAGGAAGTAATTGTTGTCTTATGTTGAAAATGCTGTCAGTGTTTGTTCAGCGTGTTCATATTTCAGAATAATGTTATCAGCTTTTAGCAGACTGCTGTAGATGTGTTTAAACATCCTCGAGGGCATTGCCTACAATCTAAAGGCAGTAATAATTAGACTGACAATCATACAGATGTGACACTATGTACAGTAATAATCTTGTAGAAAACTGAGCTTTATCACAAACTCGCTGATAGCCAAACATACTTTCTTAAACTCTGTCGTACTCGCTGGTTTGTTGGGGTCTCTTTTATTAAGAAATAGTCAAATGTTGTTGTTGTTAAAAGAATTTATCCTTGACATTTTTATAAAATCATAGTCACATATTAAAGTTATTTACTGAACATTGCATTTTGTCTTTTTTGACCCGTATGTTACTGAACGATTAACTTTAAATGCCTGAAGTGTGATTTAGTTCTCAGTCATGAAGATTTAAAAACTTTCACTTTTAATTATAAACAACCTGCAAACAAATATTGTAAAGAGCCACTGTTTTGCCTCTATTAGCATATTTGTTTATCACCAATCAGAGACGGTCTCCAACACAACCTGAACATCCTGCAACAGTTCAGCAGCTCAGTATGTTTCTGCAGCCAGAACCAGAGAGACCCCCCACATACAGAGGTGCTGTCTGATCTACACTCTGTTATCTAACTGTGATATAACTGCATATAGATTTACTTTATCTGTTACTTGTATACTTTCTGATTGTTTTTTATTCTTTTACAGTATTTCATCAATTAATATCAATCAGAAATAGATTTTAATTACATGATATTTTCAGGAAAAATGTGCTTCATTAGTGTAACTAAGCACTGCACCTTCAAACAAACAAAAAGAGGATGACAAATTCAGCTTTTTAAATTTTTACTGTCTTAATCAGCATTAGGCACAAGAGTACAGAGTTTGCTTTTTGAGTATATATCCACAATTTAGTTACAACTGATTGCTCTATAAAACACTTCACCCATCTCCTTATTATCAAGGCCTTTCATCCCTCAGATTAGTCCTATCTTCAAATCCTAAATCAAAAATCATTTACATACCCTCTAAATGCTTTTTAAATGAAATTTACATGTTCTGATTCTGATACTTATGTAAGAAAAAAAGAGAAACAAAGTTACAGACAGAAATGAGAAACACAATACCCAAACTGGACATCCTTAGGTTCTCTGTTCTATTGTTTTTCATCATCAGATGGTAAAGCTGGAAGCTGTGAGTTTATTTTGAAAATGAGACTACATTTTATTTGACAAATACTTGACTACATAATATCCCGCTCTTGGAGTACTATTACATTTATATCCACTGTAGATAACAATAAACCCACAGAACATGCTGTTTATCCCCCTTTGCAGGTGATGATGTACCTGGGCAGAGCCTGATATCCACTGAATATTACAGAGACATCAGGTCCTCCACTCACACTGTCATACATTATCTGGGGGTCTTTTCCCACAGCGGGAGGCAGAATGAGACCCCTCTGCCCAAAGATAGAGTTTCCTGTCAGCACCTCAGCTTCCACGAAGTACAGGAACTTCCCGTTCTGCATTTCCTTCCACATTTCCATGGCCTTTTTCGGTGTGCCTGCAAAGTAGATGCCCTCTCCAAACGCAGGGTCTGTATTCAGAGAAAGAGAAGCAGAGGAAAGTCAATCCTCTGTGCATCCACAAATGCATCTCTCTATCCTCTCCGTCAACTGCATTTACTAATGTATTTTAGTATTTAGCATTAACTGAAAACAACTTAACTATACTCTTATGTAGGACTTTTTATAGAGCACAAACACTGTTTGTTAAAAGTATTATCATACCTGGAGGTGGAGCGTACTCTGCATGGAATCCAATGCGGCTGACCATCTCTAGGAAGTGTGCTGGCACGCACTGAAACATTGTTCGGTGAGAGAAGCAGTTTAGCTGTCGTTTCTTTAATTCAAAGAGCATCTCCAGAGCTGGGTTCTCCACCTTTTCCACCTAGACAGGGAAAAAAACAAGCATGTATCTGTTTAAAGGTGAAATATAATGAGACACCTGCAAATAGTTGACAGAATTTGATAGAAGTTAGGGCAATATGTCATGGGATGTGTTCTGCTGCATGCAACTATGTGAAGATGAATTAAATCTTATTGTGGATTACTGCAAAAGCCTTACTGTTCTCAACAACAAAATCAGAGCATTGAATCACCCAGTTTAATCACCTTTTCAAGCCACAAACGTGTATCTCCGAGAGAAGAAGCTCTGTCTTTGTATTCGTTGGTAGAGTGGGTCTGTCTTTCAGGATGCAGGGTCTGTCTTTCAGGATGCACACTCTTTGTCGTCATCTTGCTTATTTCATGCTCTTCAAATTTCATAAACTCCCTCTGTATTCTACAGAGCATCTTCTCCACCTGCAGCCCGGCAGCTGCGACATCTTCGTTCGAATCCCCTTTCACCATAATGCCGGCGCGGCCTTTGTCGAAGAATTCCTCAATGATGACGCCTTTTTCGGTCAGACGGGACAGCTCACCATGTTCTTGTTTCCCAAAGTGCAGGACGAAGTTGTTAGAGATGATGACTACGCCAGCAGAGTCGAAGAGCAAGTCTTGGAGCCAGCGTTTAGCCTCATGAGTTGCTTTATCAGAGGGGCCGCTCAGGCTTATCTGAGGAGATGACGCCTTGGAGCCACTGAAGTCATCTCTGTTGTTGAATGCTGGAAAGGTAGAGATGATATATGTCTACTGTTAGTGCTGCTATCTAGGGTCACTCCAAAACATGACCAGTCAAACATGCATTTAAGTTATTTAAATAAGATGCCCTACATTAACTGAAATATGCAGAAGAACAGTGTGTGTTGAACGTACAACAGTTTGACAATAATTGAACTAATTAATAATAATTGAATAATTGAACTGCCACAAAGGGATATCTGAAGTACTGTTACCAAGTTCAAAGCTGGGATGTTGTGCTCTTTCCCTGAGAAACCTCATTTGTTCTTCAAAAGCCTGGAAAGAGAATGATCAATATATGTTTAGTTTTTCTGCACAAGACAGTTCATGAAGTTCGAGTGGGAATGTCTGAATTATCAAGTCAGGAGAGATGGCAACTGAACTGGCACAACCTGGCGAACTGAAAAAAAACTCAGCTTGTGTTGGGGCATAATGCATTTCTGGTAACAATGAATGGGTCATCTCAAGTGTTTTGAGCAGTACCTGATAAATGGAGCTGTCAGAAGGAAAGATGACAATAGAAACTTCCAGAGGCTTTGGGGACTTTTGGGCAAACTCAGCGACCGCTTTCAGCATGGTCTCAGCAGCTTCTTTTCCACTGAACCCAAGGGCTCCGGTTCCGATGGCAGGAAAGGTGATTGACCTGTGCTTATTTGAGACTGCCAGCCACAAGCATTCTGACACCGAGTTAAAAAGACCCTGTCATAGATGAGTAAAGGGACAGAAAAGCAAAAAGTGTTGTCAACATATTTGAAAGTACATCTGAAAGTACAAGCTGCATGTTATCTCTTCACTTAAATGACCATCATACTGTACCTGCACTGCGACTTCCTGCTGCTTCGCATATCCCGTCTTCGTCGCACAACGAGTATGAAAGACGCTTTTACAGTGCAGCTTGTAGCCTTTTGTAATGATGACATGTCCACTTGGATACGCGTTAGTCATTTCTTTTTGCATTTCATACCCAGCTTTCTTTAGTAAAGCTTTGGAGATTTCACCCTGGCTCAGGTCTCGATTTTCTGATGCAGTGTTAACAATGACATCTGTCTGTGAGAACAGAGGGTTGGCACATGAAATATATGAAGAGTATTGTGTACATACTATCTTTTCTGAGTATTAGGGAAACTTATACGCATCTTTTACTCAAAGACACTTTAACAGATGAATGGCTAAACATCGTAGGTTCTTACCGACTGTTCTTCAATGCGTCCCTTCTTCAGCATCAGATGGACATTTCCGATGTGGAGAGAAGGTGTTGAAGTTTTGGCATCATCTCTGCTTCTACTGCTTGCTGCCTGACTGTATGTGATGGGCTTGTGGTGTGCCAGTATCTGGCAGCAGGCCCTGTTCATTTCCGTGACTGAAGGCTCATCGAAGTTTACCAAGAATATTTCTATAGGATGATGCTTATAAGGATCATAGTTTTCATAGTATTCTTTCACAGTTGACACTATGGTGTCGGCACACTGTGGCAGTGGGTAGTGGAACAGTCCTGAGCTTATGGCAGGAATGGCAACAGACTGCAGGTGATGTTCCCTTACTTTGTCAAGGATGCTCCGGATGGCTTTCTTCAACAGCAGTTCGGCCCGAGAAACATCACGAGGGGAGGGATTAGGTGATAAATCAGGTCCAACAGCATGAATAATTTTGTTGCATGGTAGCTGCCCAGAACCAGTGACAATTGCCTCTCCTGTTTTCAAGTCACCATTTTTTTTAATGTAATCATTACTTTCTTTCTGGATTGATGGACCACCGGCCTTACTCAGAGACGATGCAAGGCCGCCCCAGTGCTGAAGCTGGGTGTTAGCTGCATTCACAACAGCATCTGCCCGGAAAATAGTCAGATCGCCCTTCCACACAGAAACACGGACACCTACAGGTAGATAAACTTCAAATCTTGGCTGGGGTTCGACTGTTGGCCTTCCCTGCTTGGCGACAACAAGATCCTGTTCAAAATCCACTCCTTCGATGATGGCCACGCATCCGAATTTGCTTTGGAGAACATCACACAAATCTTCTCTGCACTGTCTCACGATGTTGACTGAACGCCCATGAAGGGTGACATCTAATTTGCTGGTCATGGTTTCTAAACAAAGAAAATGAACAAAATTAACATTGAACTTCATTTAATGCTTTGTATGTGAACCTTAAACAACACTAATGTCATTGTAATTTTGCAAAATTTAGGTACAATTTGCACAGTTCAGCCAGTTTGCACAACAGGCAGTGACTTTATGCAGGGGGGATATTATAGAAACATTCACGAACTTTAACCTGAATAGGTGTCGTGTCACTAAAGTACTCTCAAACATTGACTTTTCCTGTTGGTTGTAGTTTAAGAAGGTATGCTTTTACATAATTTGGGGGTCATATCTTAGATTCAACCAGCCCTCACGCCACACCCCTTGGGTTAAAGGTCAGTTTCACTCTGTAATTTAGGTAAATTATAAATACTTGAATACGTTTTTTAGTCCATTAAGGTTCATTTGGTATGACTGTGCAATACGTTGATATTTCTTCTATCCAAACCAGTGTCTTTTGGACTGCAAACTTCAAGAAGTCTTCCTTAGAGGGAGTCATGTGGAAGGCAAAAAAAGAAACCCACTGGTGTAGATATACAAAATACTCGGTACTTTTTTCTTCTACTTGAGTCGATTAACTTCCACTTAGAGCGCCTGTGAGGAACTTTGTGTCTGTATTGACTTGAGCCCCCCTGTGGACAAAGCAGTGATCTTTATACTCTTGCTCCCTGTTGTCTTTGTACAGCGGAAATGATCACTCACTATGAATATTTGCTATATGACAAGTAATTAACGCTGTTTTGTAGCGTACCTACCCCCTCACAGCAGATACAGACATCAAAAATTACATTATAGTGCTGATCTTGCCAATAATGGTGTCATTGTGCTTTTGTACCTCATATAATTAAGTCACTGTTTATTTCAGATTATTTAAAACTCCCTTTGATGCTTCATTTTTGTTTTAAATAAAATTCCACTGAAGAGACACTGGAAATAAGTCATGACCTCTTCCTGTCTACAGGTGGCTCTGTATAAATTCTAGGTATTTCCATTTTAGTAGAAGTAAGTGCTGTTCCCCTATTCCTCCAGCAGAGGAAGACACAGACTGTATCTTATTTTAAAGTCTGTTCACGCAGTAACACATAACTGTGTGTCAGCAACCATTTATCACCTCTATCAATCAGTAAACTTTGGCCTGCTTGTTTCGTTTCGGTGAAATAAGCAGTAACGTCACTATATAACACAGCTCACAAAAAAATGTTACCTTTTCCAGCTGGGGGCTTTTTTTTTTTAAAATGAAAACAAAAATATTTTAAACTATAGATAGGCCATATTTACTATTTTTCTATAGTTGCCCTAATTCTTTACATTGTCCCTGCTGTAGCCTAAGTCTTATTGCAAAGACTTGGCTTCTTTACAAGGCATAATATCGAAATGACAACCAAGTTAAACAATAAATTTTACCACTTTACCTAAAATTGACTCATAAAAGTAGAAATGTCGTTTTAAAAAAATCGCCATATTTACAAGTGGCCAAACGGCGCGATGTGCACGAGACAAGCGGTTGAGCTGTTTTGCGCCTAAACTAAGCGACGAATCGTCATTGTTACTATACTTTCTGCCTTATTACACAGCATGGATAAAGTTGAAAAGAAATATGAATATTTGAGAAGCAGCTTACCCACCGAACTGAAAAGTCCCGAGGTGAAAAAGAAAGTAAAAAGTCGAAAGAAATCAAACAGGGAGCGGCTCTTTTCTCGACCACTCCTCGCGCTGTTGGCCAAGTTTTTTAGCTAGTTTTATTGGACGCTACTCTAACGTGGCTATAAACGCTCCTGTGTCCTCTGAGTTGCTGTGTCCTCTGATCAAATATCTATTAATGGCTGCAGTCGACAACAACCCCGACAACCCAACACCGTCTCTTTTTCTGGAAATCAAAAGTGAAAGTAAAGTGGGACACAACAGACTGGGTCAAACCGGCGACGATGGCTGACGCATATTCGTACCCCCTGCTCGTCGATATCGGAGAAAACAAAGTACCGAGGTTGAAAATCAAACTGATAAAGTATTTTCAGAGTAAGAAATCCAACGGTGGCGACTGTGAAGTTGACTACGAAAATGGCAGCGAGACTGCGGTGTTACGCTTCCGCAAGGAGGAGGGTAAGCTCAGGGCTCCTCAAAGTCGATTATAACTTTGCTGTTTATGAAGTTGACTAATTTTCAGATGGCTTTTCATTCTTATTTTCAGACCAGCAAAAGGTTTTGGCGAAAGAGGTTCATGAGATCGGTTTGGATACTGGCGTGTTGCGGATGAGGGTTCGCCTACCTCCAGACGAAACAACAAAACAGGTGAGTGGAAAAACACAGCTGTCCTCTTTGCATATTTGAGAGGTTTGTGAATCATGTAATGTGACTGGTTGGGAAGCTTTCCAAACCAGCTGATAACAAGAGCATTGAGTCTTATGAAACTAGTAACAAAAAATGTCATAAAAGTTATGAAAAAGTGACAAAAATTCATTTTTTCTCCCCATTTTCTGCAGGAAGTTCCACCAAAACAAGTTAAAGACAAAGGTAAGTGCAAACCAAAACAAATGTATTCTGCTCTTTACAGGATAATGTGAAGATAAGTTGACAAATCATTAACAAGCCATTTTTTGTATCTTCTTGTGTATTGGAGACAGGGGCGGATCCAGACTTTGTAACCTGGGGTGGCCCAGACACTAATTTATGCAGGGGTTGCATGAAGTATGTGAACATCTATCTACTGTTTGGGGTGGGCAACATGACCTAACATTCATTTATTTTCTTTTTTTCACTTTATGATGTTGTATTTTGATATTGCACAATTAAAGGAAATCAAACACATAAACACAGGATCACTCTATGACACCACCTCTTCCCCTAAAACAAGCCTGTGCTGTGAAATTCAAATCATGTTTGTAACTGAGGAAGAGATGGTCAGGGTATGTGTGCATACCTGTCTGTCTTCACTATCCACTTTAACAATAGTAATTTTAGTATCACAGATATTATATTCCTGTCTCTATAGCCACCATTATAGTTAAATAAAGGTAACTTCACATCAGCCAGTCCATCTTATATTAGCTCCACAATAGGGGATTTCATTTTGTTACAGAAGTGCAGCAAACTTCGGTGGAATTTTCCAGTTAAACAATTGTTATATAAGCATGTTTATGTTTTAACTTGACCGTTAAAGCCCCTGTGAGGAACTTTCAGTTTGTGTCAGCTTTGGTGCCCTCCTGTGGACAAAGCAGTCTTTGCTTATCATGTCTCCTACATGCTTAATTAGGGTCTTCAGATGGAGAAAATTCAAACTTGCCAACTTTAAACAGTCAAATGTATCACTTTTGTGACAGTTTATTGTTGAAAATGTAAAAACGGGGGTTTCTTTGACAGCTTCACTGACACCTACTCTCTTGCACCAGCCTCAGGCTCTAAAATGGCTAAAGTGACATCAATTTGAGTCTATTTTATAAATTAAAAGACAAGAAAGTCATCACAGGAGCTTTAAGAGAAATGTTGAGGAGAATGATTAGTATCTGTAGCCATGGTAGCACTACCCACCATGTATCCAGAAGAACTTTTTTATGTAGAACTACTAATATGTTACATTTATATATATTTTAAATCAATACAGTATACATATATAATACAGTATTTAAATCAGTGTTCAGTATTAATCTATTCAGGGCCTCAGTCAGTTAACAGTTAACAAACAACTGTGGGTTCTAGTTTCTTGCTTACTTGTAGTTCTTGTGATTTATCTGACATTAAAGAGCTTCACTCATAGTCCAAGCTGTAGCCCAAAGGAATTAGATATTCTGCTGCACCTGCATGAAGGGTTGAGTCTGTTTTGTTGATCACATGTCCAGGTCAACAGCTTTTTTTAACCCTGGAGTTCCCCCAGAAATACGTTATATAAGAACAAGTTCATTTCACTTTCCATTCTCCCAGCACATTGGTTCAATGTTCAATTTTTTCCAGTACAGTATCTGTATATAGCATGTAAACACCAATAACATGAAACTAAGTTGTACCAGTTTAACAGTTTCAAGCTTGTTTTTAATCACAGTGGATATATCTGGAATGGCACCTACTTCTGTGTTGCTCACTCCTTCTCATAAAAAGGGGGGAAAGGACATGCAATAGCCCTGTGTTCTGATAAATGTTGATAGCTTCACACTCTTGTCGAGGGCAGAATATGATTTTATTATCAGATTAGTGCAGGTATGCTCTATATCCAGTTCTGCGTGTGTTAAGACATGGGTGTGTCAGGAATCTGACCAGACAAAGGAAGTATAAGTCATTTTCTATGAGTCTGTGGACAGTTCTTTGAAACTCTCTGAAAATAAAGTTTCATTCAGAGTTTGTTATAATTCAGTGTTAGGTCTTGTGTTCACCTGATATTAACATGTGCCCTGATACATCAGACCACACCTTTGTGTAGCAGTTGACCAACGTAGGTTTTTCAATGTTTTAAACTGATGTTGATATTTGCAGAGCAGGGCTGCTGAGCTGGTCTCACTTTTTTCTGAAATGTCTCTTCAGCCTCTGAACATTCATGTCTTATCAACAACAGATGCTGCTGAAAATGAACAACCTGAGCCGGCAGCCAGTGTTCAGATTGAGGTCAAAAGTGGAGATGATGAGGCCAAAGAAGATGAGGAAGACAAGGTCTGCTCCACTATGGCTGTTATAGAGAAGTTACCAGAGTCTATACAGCAGGAGTATTTGGAGATGCTGGTGGAAAATGTTTTGAAGGACTCAGAGTTTCAAGTCAACTCTGAGAGTTACACTTTGGAGATTATTCCCAGCCTCTCCTGTGCTTTGGTGACCTTCCAGAGTGGAAAAGGTGCAGATTTCGAAAATACTGAGTGTTCTTACTTTGTTTTGAAAAAAGGACTCTAAAAGTTGTTTATTCCTTTCAAATCTGACTCAATAATTTATGTGTCTCTCTCTTTCACAGTAAATAATGATTTTGTGATGAGATGTCCTCACAACAAAAACTTCATAAAGAAGGGATTAACAGCTCAGCCTCTTGAAGCCACAAAAAAAGTCTTGGTTGATGACGTAAAAAATATCAGTGAAGATTCCCTATGTCTTTATTTTGAGAATGAAGGTGGAGAAGTTGAAAATGTTGAGCTTAAAGAAGCGGAGCAATCTGCCATCATTACATTCAGTGATCCGAAAGGTAAAGCATCTATGATACTTGTTAAATATACCTGTGTGGATATTTAATGAACTTTGTGCTCGATTTGAATTAAAGCTGCCATTTCTATTTTTAACATGTGATTTCTTTGCTCATAGTTGTTAAAATCTTAAAGAAGGAGCATCGCATCGGACAGGAAGAGATCAGAGTTTATCCTTTCTATGAGTCACTAGGAATAGCCCTCTATGGAGAAGACATGCCTTTGCTCAAACTCCCTCCTGCTGTCACTGAACCCATTGATGAAGCTCTCTGGAGATACCTGAGTGACCATCAGCCAGCAGTAGAGACCATTCAAAAGTGCTTAGCTGAACACTTCTGCAGTGTCAGTCTCGGCCGATCCGCTGTATGCTTGAGCCCTATTCCTTCGCTGCTGCAAGAAAAGGACGCCAGAGACATCGTCACAAAGTGGAAGGATACCGTGAAGTCAGCCTTGGCACAAGATTTGTCACACTTCCAATACCTGAAACTTCAGCCAGAACCAACAAAATGGGAAGAGTCTGAGGAGAAGATCAGAGCGACACTGCTGAAGGAGGATGTCACTGTGGTGTCTGATAAAGCCAGTGGTGTCATATCAGTGGTTGGTCTTATGACTGACATCAACAGACTTGAGCAAACTCTTAGAGAAGTCATCAATATGATAATCAAAAGGGTACAGAGAGAGAGATTTAGTGTAACCCAAAAGATCAGAGTGGCCCCGTCGATTTACCACATCCTGTGTCAAGATGGTCTTGAGGACAAACTGCTTTCTGTGTACCCAGAACTGAAAATGACATTCAGAAAAGAGAGTGCAGAATTAGTAGTAAGTGGCTTAAATGATGAGATTTTGACAGCAAGCAAAGTCGTGTGTGAAGCATCAGTTGCGTTAAAACGACAAAATTTGCAAATAGATCAGCCTGTCCTTGACTTCTTAAAGCAGGAAGAACCTGAGAAACTTACAGACACCCTCCTCACATCCAACAAGATAAATGCAGCATTTGAGATCACTGCAAACCAGGTTCAGCTGCTAGCTGTTACTGACAGAGGTTTAACTGAGGCTGAAGGTCATCTGAAAAACCTGCTGGTATCTCTAAACATACAAGCTGAAGACAGTAATGTCCTAAAGAAGCCAGGTTGGAAGGACTTGGTGAGCAGATTGGAGAATGCCAACAACAAGCCACTGAGGACGGTTCGAGTCCACACCACTGATAAGGAAATCGTGGTTTCTGGATACAAAGACAGAGTGGAAAGAGTGTGCGCTGAACTGAAAGTTTTCTCAACGCAGTATGCTGAAGTTGAAGAAACCGTTCCCATTAAGCGCAATGCCATAGTTGACTATATTGAAAAAGCTGATGCGTCTTGGTTGGGCAAAGTGGGTGACAAAGTGAGGGTTCAATACAAGAAGGGGGGCATCTGTTTGAGTGGGTGTAGAATCCATGTCACTGAATGCAAGACCTTGGTCAACAAGCATGTGTCCTCTTTGGTCTATGAGCTATTCAAAGTCTCCAAATCTGGAGCGAAGTCCTTCTTCCAGGACAAAGAAGCTATGTACATGTCTGTCATCTTCTCTGACACTGGCTGCCTGGCCCAGCTGGCTGATGAGACAAGTGATGAACAGGATGACCTCAGACAATTTCCCACCCCTGTTTATCTCCTGCAGACGCCTGATGGAGTTGAAATAGCTGTTTGCAAGGGAGACATGTGCAGCTACCCAGTGGATGCAATAGTTAATTCTTCTAACCAGAGTTTGAAGCTTGATGGAGGTCTTTCTGCAGCTCTTCTGAAAGCTGCTGGTCCTCAGTTGCAGGTGGAATGTGACAAACTGATTCAATCAGATGGGCAGCTCAAACCAGGAGACAGTGTCATCACAAACGCAGGGGGGCAGCTGTCCTGTAAAAAAATCATCCACGCAGTGGGACCCACGTTTGATTCAGTGAATCCATCGAAGGCTCGGGCACAGTTGAGAAAAGCCATCAAAGGGAGTTTAGAGCTCGCAGAAAAGTACAGGTGTGTCTCTGTGGCTATCCCTACCATAAGTAGAAACCAAGGCTTTCCTCCAAACTTGTGTGCAGAAATAATTATCACAGCAGTGAAGGAGTACTGTGATGAAAAATATGATGAGATTACGCTGAGGAGGATCCACTTTGTCAACAATGATGATCATCCTGTTCAACTGATGGAGTCTGCTGCCAAACAGGTGTTTGGAAGCAATGGTGTCAGTCAGTCTCAGCAAACAACCTCTACCACACCACCCATACCTGTGAAACCTGCTCATTTCGATCCGAATTGCCTTTTCCAAGTGCAGACCAAGGAAGTTGTGGACATATCTGTTTTGAAAGGAAATATTGAGAACTCCACGGTAACTATTATTCACTTATTACAGAGAATATATGATAAGATAGCCTTACAGATTAATCCAATTCATAATGGTCCCATGAGGCTTAATTATTTTCGTTCCAGCTGGATATTGGTACAACTTTTCTGTCTTCTCATTTTCAGACAGATGTGATCGTCAACACCGTGTCTAAAGATCTTGATCTAACCAAGGGGGCAGTTTCAAATGCAATCTTACGTGTGGCTGGACGAAACCTTCAGCAATTGGTTTGGGAAAATAATCAGAGTGCAAATATCGGTGATGTCATTGCTACAGCAGGCTGTAACCTAAAGTGCAAAGAAGTTTTTCATGCAGTTGCACCTAACTGGGACAATGGCAAAGGCTCACCTGACAAGGTAAAGCCTTACATGATCTGAAAATGTGTAATTTATAAACGGGGATCGATGCAGAGGCTTGTGCTCGGATGCAGAAGTAGTGCAAACATTGAGTATTTTACCTTCAAAGATTCAAAACATTTATTCCTTGCCTTCCAGATCTTGAAAGGGATTTTCTGTGAATGCCTGGGAAAAGCAGAAGACAACAGTCACACCTCCATATCCCTGCCTGCTATTGGCACTGGAATTCTGGGCTTCCCAAAAGACCATGTAGCCTTGTCGCTGTTGAAAGAAATCTCAGAGTTCAGTAGTAAGAAAAAACCTAAGCATCTGAAGAAAGTCGTGATCGTTCTTTACCCAGGAGACAGTCCGACTATCCAGGTAAGACAAGAAATTAAACAGCAAAAGTCGCTTTGCATTACAATCAAGATTCTGTGGTGTCACTTGTGATTACTGGTGGTAAAGTTAGTGTTGGTTGAACACTGACAGTCCTGGAATCTTGGGATCATTAAATACTATGTTGACAGTAGGAATAAGTAAAGTATGTGTTTCTTCTGTTTGTCTGTAATATTTGAGAATGTTTTATATCAGATATTTCTGTAAATCTGTCTGTAGGCTTTTACTGATGAATTCAAGAAGCAGTTCCCCAATGCGACGGGTGGTGATGGGTCATCAAGTGCCCCACAAAGAGCAGGTGCGCACAGTGGTCGAAGTTTAACATCATTTTGGTTTTGAAGATTCAAAACTGTGCTTTAAAGTCTTCGTCATTTGTCTTCAGGCCCTTTCTCCAAAGTTGTCTCAGGTTCAGGAATACATGAGACCACAATGGGAAATGTGGCAGTACAAGTTGTTACAGGAGACATAACCAAGGAGTCCAGTGAAGTCATCGTCAACTCCAGTAACAATGATTTCTCTCTGAAGACAGGTAAATATCCATATCCAATATGGGTTTCTGATGTCTTCAGCTCTAATGTGTAGTGGATAGTACCTGGTATACTATATATTTGGAATCCCACTTGAACTCCCCTCTGTAATTATTTACTTAATTATAATAATTACTTCACTTCTGTATATTTTTTCCTCTTCCTCAGGGGTGTCAAAGGCTATCCTGGAAGCAGCGGGTCCGACTGTTCAGGCAGAATGCAAGATTCTTTGTAAGGAGTCACCTACACCCAAGAGTTGATTCTAAACCAAATATAACAATCTAAGCCAAACTTAAGATTTCTGTAACTTCAACACACATATGCACACCCAAGGTCAAGGTTCAGATGTGTTCATACCCACTGTCTTTACATTTAGGTAACCAGCCCCACCAAGGCATGATATTGACCCAGCCAGGCAACATGAGTTGCAAAAAGATCCTTCACGTCATTGGACAGGCTGACCCAGTTCAAATCAACATGGTTGTGAAAAAAGCGCTCCAGCTATGCCAGCAAAACCAGTTTACTTCCGTCTCAATTCCTGCAATTGGCACAGGTGAGTTTTAATAGTAGAGAGAGAACTGTACTGAACAAAGCTTTGACTTTTGTCCTGGAAGCCACTGTAGTTATGTTCACGAATAAAAATCAAAAAGCAGACTTACGGTTGTCAATATTTTAATGGCTCTGATCTTTTAGTAGGTACTAATGAAATCTAGACCTGCTTCTGGCTGTGGTGTTAATCAAAAAAATACATGTACCGTATTTTCCGCACTATAAGGCGCACCGGATTATAAGGCGCACCTTCAATGAATGGCCTATTTTAAAACTTTGTTCATATATAAGGCGCACCGCATTATAAGGCGCATAGAAAAGACGCTACAGTGGAGGCTGGGGTTACGTTATGCATCCATTAGATGGAGCTGCGCTAAAGGGAATGTCAACAAAACAGTCAGATAGGTCAGTCAAACTTTATTAATAGATTACAAATCAGCGTTCTAACAACTCCGTTCACTCCCCAAATGAATAAACAGCTGTTTTAGGAGCCATTTTGGGGTCTTTACATAAACACACAAATAGAAATGAAACGGCACGCCTCGCGCAGTCATATATCCCAGCATGCACCGCGCGCTTCTTCTTCTACGGGGGAAAATGAAGTCGGCGGCTGCTTACCGTAGTTGCGAGACCTGTTGTGGCTCAATATTGGTCCATATATAAGGCGCACCGGATTATAAGGCGCACTGTCAGCTTTTGAGAAAATTGGAGGTTTTTAGGTGCGCCTTATAGTGCGGAAAATACGGTACATGTCGACTGTTATCAGAAATCCATTTTTAAATAGTTAACTGGTCTGTTATGCTCTCAATAGGCAGATACTGTTTGAAAGACAGCATTTCAACCTGATAGAAAAAGAAATGTAGACTGGAAATATTGTACATTTTTGGCAAATTAGCTGGTATTTAACAGGGTTGAGCTTCAGATTTGTGTAATTTATGCTCTACGTGCTTCAGGTCAAGGCAATGTCCACCCAAGACAGGTTGCGGATGCCATGTTGGATGCAGTGATTGATGTCTTGAGCCAAAACACGTCCACCACCCTGAAGACAATTCGGATTGTCATCTTTCAGTCGCCTATGTTAAAAGACTTTTTCAGCAGTATGCAAGAAAGAGAAGCAACACAAGCTGCAACTGAAGCTCCCAAAGACAAAGGATGGTCATTTAAAAATATCAAGAGCAAAATCACATGTAAATATGGAGAGTATGTGTATGTGTATGTATGTGAGTATGTGCAACTCCCCCAGCTTCCTCATTCAAAGACCCCATTCCCAATAAACATGTTTTTTTTTCTTATAGCCCTCTTTGCCAACAACAATGATGATCCACAGAAAGCAGAGGATTTTGTAATTGACCCTCTGCTAGTGGACCCTGCATGCTTCCACATCTGCAGCGACTCACAGGCAAAAGTAGACTCAGCCAAGAAGTGGATCAGCGACCTGATTACCAAAGAGTACATCACTGACGATATTTTAGACACTGGCATCCTAAATCTGTCTGATGCAGATCGCCAACAGATTGCTGACATCCAGAAGACCGAGAAGGTGAGTATAAGGATCCAAAGCAAGAACAACCAAGCATCGATCACCATAGAGGGGCTCAGCAGCAATGTTTACAAAGCCAGTAAAATGATCAATGAGATGTTGAAGAAGACCAGAGAGGAGGAGGACCTAAAGAACAAGGTGGCACTGGCTGGAGAATTGGCCGACTGGCAGTACCAGCAGGCAGGGCTTCAGTTCCAGAGTTTTGACTTGATGAGTAACTTTGAGCTCGAGCAAGCGTTGAAAAAGAATCAACCCAGTGTAAAAGTGACAGTCAAGGGTGAGGATTACACCGTCACAATGCCAAGTGGACCTGCAACTGACAGCAAGGGACAAACCTTCGAGATTAAACGGATCGACAAACTTAAAGGTATATCATCTCGCATGTTTGCTCAGATAACTGTGTTAGCTTTCATAACCCTGCCTCAGAGTGCAGCATTAGATCCACAATGATATGATATGATAAAATAAGATAAGAACTTTAGTAATCCCAGAAGGGAAATTCAATAAAAATTCTATGAAACTGTACAATATATATTTTTTTATTTTGAGGAAAATTTAAAGTGGGTCAAAAACCAGATTTGTGTCAGTTAAACCAGAGAAATGTAAGGGTAATCTTTGAACTGCTGGATTATTTACCAGAGCTGCTAGTTGTAGACAAATTATTTGTTACAATATTGTTTATTATTGTTGATAAATACTTGATACTTGGGAAAACCTAAAGAAATTGTGTGTCTTAATCCTAGTTGAAGACATCCCTGATTTCTGGGACCCCATGCCAGCCGACAAATCCTGTCTAGCTGTCACCCTCCAGCCGGGGACTCCAGAGCACAAAGAAATCCTGAGTTTGTTTCAAGCCTCATGCAAACTCACTGTCATAAAGGTAATGGACAGTATCTTCTCCAGCATTTTTTTTTCTTTCTGAGGCAGGCTCTTGAACCTGCTCTTAAACTGCTGAACTCTCAAAGTGATGAGTATTGTGTCCTCTGACTGTGGAAGCTTGAGTCATTTGTCACCAGGAAACTCCCCTCAGAAACCTGTGTGAGGGCTTTAGACTACAGCTGAATCAGGACTAAAGACAGAAGAGAGAAGTGAATGTGATCCATTTAAACCAAAGGACAACTTGTAAAGCCATGTTTCTGATGCTCTGTCTGTATATTCACTATTTGTTCTTTATTTTTTAAGATTTTTAAGATCTTTTCCCATTTGATGGTACTTTAATTTTTTCTTTAATATTCATTCACATTCAAGGCAGCAGGACAATCACTGGCTTGAGTTCAGACAGTTTTCATAAAGTGGTAAATGAGATCTTTTTGCTGCTATACAACTATTGTTATTTACCATCCAACCATCCAGGTTTAAAGTGCTCATTTTCTCTTTCTAGATTCAGAGGATCCAGAATCCAGTGTTGTGGAAGAGTCTCCAGATAAAGAAGCGTGACATGGAGCAGAGGAACAAACACCAGAATAATGAGAAACGTCTCTTTCACGGCACTAGCGAAGACACTGTGGACCACATCAACGAGCACGGTTTTAACAGGAGTTATGCTGGAAAGAACGGTGAGAAGATGATAAATCTGACACCTAATAATTTTTTATTACAATCCCAAAGACATTAAAAAGATCCAAATCCCATTCTTTCCTGAAAAAATGAAGGTTCAAAGTTCTCAGAGACTATCTTTCTGCTTCTCTTCATTTTCTCCAGCTGCCTTTTATGGAAACGGGACATACTTCGCTGTCAATGCCAGTTACTCTGCAAGCGACACCTACTCTAAACCAAACCAGAACATGGAGAAGTTCATGTACCTCTGCCAAGTGCTGACTGGGGACTATGAACATGGCAAGCAACACATGATTGTGCCACCTAATAAGAAGGGTTCTTTGGTTGAGAAGTATGACAGTGTGGTGGACGATGTGACCAAACCCGCTTTATTTGTTATCTTCCATGATGCCCAAGCTTACCCTGAATATTTGATCATGTTTAAGTAACACATCTGTGCACAGACATTACAAAAACAAAAAGCTGAATGTTCAACACTGCCTTAGAACACTTTAGTCTGCACTTTTGATTTGGCTACTTTGACTGTAGATGCTTGTTTTTAACTCAGAGCTGTCCTGTAAGGTAAGAGTGATTTCCTGGATTACAAACAACAAGTATTGATCAGAGGTTTCTTTTGACAGTATTAACCATGCAGTGCCTTTAATGAATTTAGTGAACTATGCAGAGCAGAATCAAACTGTGTAGAAATCTGTTTTACCTTTAATCTAAACATTTTACGTCTGCTTAACTCTTACCTCTGAAATCAGAGTTCGCGGAGGTGGGGGGCCCTGTAAGGCTGTTGGAAAGTGCCTGCTCACTTTCAACAAGCCATGTGATACAGTTGTTTATCAGGTTTACAATTACTTTTGGTTTTGAAATAGAAATTGAAAGTTAAATGCCAGCCTGCACAAATAAAAGTCAAGAGAAGAATGCCACTGTGTTGTTATTGAAGGTTATTTTTCAGTCTTGACATTTGTCTCCAGCATCTGTTTATTGCAGCAGCAAACTCGTGTGATGCTTAGTCAGAACAAAACTTTTTCAGTTCCTAGTCATGTCCTTTGACAGTCAAACTCTGGATTTATATGGGTATTATATTACAAACCTGTAAAAATGAAAACAGCTTCCCAGGGACCAAAATCACCATGGGCTTAAGAAGTGATGTGTTTAACTTTTTGTCAATGTCTTTAGTCAAAGGGGTGCTCAAGAAAGCAATTTGTCATATTTGAAGCTTAAAATGCCTTACCACTAATGAACACATCCTTTGTGAAGCAAATAACCCTTTGAAATACAGCTAAACTTAATAAAATGAAAACTCTTATTTAAGTGCTGAACTGCTCTTCTTGCTGCAGGTACTTTTTCTAAACCCTGGGGACATTTTGAACTTAAATAGGAAAAAAAAATAGAACGATAAAAAAAAACGCTTGTGAACCTGTTCATCTTCACATTCAAATAAGAAAAAAACTGCATAACACTACTCCCTCATCAGTCTTGGATTCATCACAAGCTCTTCCTCTCTGAGTAAGCTTAGTTCTTTTGCAAATAGGCAACGTCTTGTTTCGCATTGCAGTACTGTGTCACTTTTGTCAGTGTTTTCGCTTTTGAGGAAACGTTCTTTGGCTGAAAGTAGACATTTTTTACAGGCACCCGTTTGTGAGGAGCGTTAGTGGTGGTGTCAGTCAGTGTGTAGCCCATAGATAGTATATAGAAACCCTAGGCTCCTTAGTGTAGCCATGAAGAGATACTTGAGCAGAGTACACAGCAACTGTGGGAAGGACATAAAGGCGTTAATAGACACGTAAAATTAGCGTCCAATTAAAGTAGTTCAAAACTTGTTCAACTGCATGAGGGGTTGTCCAGAAAGGGCTGCTTCCTGTTTCACTGCTTTATTCTTTCTTTTCTCCTCGAGACTCCTGTTCAACGGGTAAGCTGCTTCTTATTATATATATATATCTTTACAACTTTCATCAGTGAAGTAGGCTATAATAAGCTAGACTGTATAGTAATAATGACGATTCCTTGCTTAAATTAGGCTCAATTGTCTTGCATGCATCGCGCAGGAGTTTGGCCACTTGTAAATATGGAGATTTTATTTACACAATATTTTTACTTTTATGAGTCAACTCAGAGTTAATTGATTAACTTTTCTTTTAACTTGGTCGTACTCTCAATTTTGTGTGGCCTCAAATTTTTTTAACTGTGCCTTGCAAAGACGTCTTCCCTGTAGACTAAAACTCACAGCAGCGACAATGTAAAGAATTTGGCAACTAAAGGCAAAAAAATGATAAATGAACATCCAAATATATTGGTCTCTAGAAAAGTTTCGAGACGGAAAAACTAACACATTTTGTCAGCCTTTTTATTTGGCCACTGTACTGCTTTTATTTCGCCGAAACGAGACAAACAGTTTAGTGATATAATGGGTGATAAATAGTTACGGATACACTGATATTTCCCTGCAGGATCGGACTTTAAAATAAAATAGTCTGTCTCCCTCTGCTGGAGGAATAAGGAAACAGCACTTATTTCTACCAAAATGGAAATGCCTTGAATTTATACAGGGCCATCTGGAGACAGGTAGAGGTCATTGCTGCGTCCGAACTGCCCGCTCGGATACTACATGCTACTGCTACGTGCTACTGCTAGATCCTACTCCTACATACTAAACACGTTGGCCCAATTCGGACACACTAGACGAGCGGTGGGGAAAGACGACCCCCGCAGGCAGAGAGTAGGTACTGCGCCCGTGCAGACAGTGGTAACTGAAGCCCCTCATCTGCAGGCTTGGCTGTAGTACTGCAGCTGTGCAGTTTAATGATGGAATAAGTGAGCTTTACCTCCATGATGTCGCCACTTGCTCATAAAATGATTACTTGGGCAAATATGACACCATGACATGACAAAATGATACAACCGCACATTTTTTAGGACAGTGTGTGAAGTTACATGAAACTTACATCTGTACTGCTGCGGACCCGCCTGCTGCTGCTGCTGCTCCGACATGGTGCACGCTGCTGTGGTCAGCCAGCGTTCGCGACACTTTTAAATAGGCAGAGCAGCTGGTGGCGCTAGCATCACATGCGCTTCTACAACCTTTAAGAGGACGAAGAAGAAGCCCGCGGTGCATTTTGGGTCAGTAGCATGCCCGTAGGATGCACCGAGACCAACCTACAATGTGGGCGTGTCTAGCATCTGAAGTAGTATCTGAAGTAGCATGCTACTCGCTCCGGTGGCCAATTCGGACATGCTAGATACTACTTCGACTACTACTTCGACTACTACTTGGCAATTCGGACGCAGCTCATGACTTTTATCCAGTGTCGCTTTCTTCAGTGAAATTTTATTTAAAACACAAATGAAGCTGATCTGAAATAAAAAGCGATTTATCTCTATGACGTACAGAAGCAAATGAAATCATTATTGTTAAGATCAACAATAACAATGTTATTTTTTATGTCTAATTTCTGTGAGGAGGTAGGTATGCTTCAAAACAGCCGTAACTACCTACAACAATATTAATGGTGAGTGATCATTTTCACTGTATGAAGACAACAGGAAGAGATTTTTTGTCAATTAACACCACTTTCACAAGGCTGACACAAAATCAGCAATGATTTAATAATCACAGCCAGAAAGTTCCTCACAGGTGCTTCAAGTGGAAGTGAATCAACTCAAGTAGAAGAAAAAAGTACTAAAATATCTACACCAGTGAGTTTCTTCTTGTTATGTTTTGAAGTACAATATTAAAACATAACATGACTGCCCTGAGGAAGACTGCAGGAAGTTTGTAGTCAAAAACGCACTGGTTTAGATAGAAGAAAGACCAACAAATTTCACAGTCAGACCAAATGAACTTCAATGGACTTAAAAGTATTTAAAATCTACCTAAAATACAGAGTATTACTGACTTTAAACCCAAGGGGTGTGGTGTGAGGGCCGGTTAAATGTAAGATATGACCCCCACATAATGTAAAAGCATACTTTCTTAAGATACAACCAACAGGAACAGTCAATGTATGAGGGAACTTTAGTGACACAGCACCCATCCAGATTAAAGTTAATAAATGCTTTTATAACATCCTCCCTGCATCAAGTCACAGCCTGTTGTGCAAACTGGCTGAATTGTGCAAACTGCACCTAAATTGTCCAGCTAGCACAACGGCTCTGGGGTCTCTTGCATATTTTGGAAAATACAATAACATTTGTGTTGTTTGAGGTTCACATAAAAAGCATCAAATGAAGTCCAATATTAACCTTGTTCAATTGACCAGTAAATCACTCTGTTTTGCTACAGGGTCTTCTGCTGGAGACCACTGCTCATAGATGTTTCTCCTCTCAGCCCAGAACATCTTCTGGTAGTGGGGCAGTGTACAGGGACGTCTCCCTAACACCCCCTACAGCAAAACCTATTTAGATGTTCCTCCCTGAGTCTTGTCTCGTTGCAACAGCCATAACCAGTAGTTTGCTCTATCAGCTTCCTCTGTGAGTTCTTTGGTGCTTCAAGGTGTCCAAGGTCTCTGAGCATGAGTGATGTGGATCTGCCCACAAAGCCTCTGGCTCCCACCTCCATCGGGTACAGTCTAACTTTCCACCCACTCTCTCTGCACTCCGCAACCAGGTCTTCATGCTTTACAGCCTCTAGTCAGTGCCATGGGAGGAAGGACTAGAAACTGCCTACGAGAGAAAGAAGTATGCAGACCTGGTTGCGGAGTGAGAGATATGTGAACTTTACTCAGAGCTGTAATTGACTAAAAACAATCATGTTTGCACTTAATGAAAAGAAGGCCTCTTATCATATTACTTTGTTCTGAAATGTCTCTTCGGCCTCGAAACATTTCATGTCTTATCAACAACAGATGCTGCCAAAAAGGGGAAACCTGAACCTGCAGCCAGAGTTTGAATTAAGAACATGCCTTCACTCAAACTCCCTCGCGCTATCTCTGAACCCATTGATGAAGCTCTCTGGAGATACCTGAGTGACCACCATCCAGCAGTAGAGACGATTCAAAAGCACTTAGCTGAACACTTCTGCATTGTCAGTCTCCGCCGATCCGCTGTATTCTTGAGCCCTGTTCCTTCGCTGATGCAAGAAAAGGATGCAAGAGACATCATCAAAAACTGGAAGGATACTGTGAAGTCAGCTTTAGCACAAGCTTTGTCACACTTCAAATTCCTGAAACTTCAGCCAGAACCAACAAAATGGGATGAGTCTGAGGAGAAGATCAGAGCGACACTGCTGAAGGAGGATGTCACTGTGGTGTCTGATAAAGCCAGTGGGGTCATATCAGTGGTTGGTCTTATGACTGACATCAACAGACTTGAGCAAACTCTTAGAGAAGTCATCAACATGATAATCAAAAGGGTACAGAGAGAGAGATTTAGTGTAACCCTAAAGATCAGAGTGGCCCCATCGATTTACCACATCCTGTGTCAAGATGGTCTTGAGGACAAACTGCTTTCTGTGTACCCAGAACTGAAAATGACATTCAGAAAAGAGAGTGCAGAATTAGTAGTAATTGGCTTAAATGATGAGATTTTGACAGCAAGCAAAGTTGTGTGTGAAGCATCAGTTGCATTAAAGCGTCAACGTTTGCAAATAGATCAGCCTGTTCTTGACTTCTTAAAGCAGGAAAAACCTGAGAAACTTACACCCTCCTCACATCCAAAAAGATAAATGCGGCATTTGAGATCACTGAAAACCAGGTTCAGCTGCTAGCTGTTACTGACAGAGGTTTAACTGAGGCTGAAGGTCATCTGAAAAAGCTGCTGGTATCTTAAAACATACATGTTGAAGACAGTAATGTCCTAAAGAAGCCAGGTTGGAAGGCACTGGTGAGTATGATAGAGAATGCCAACAACAAGCCACTGAGGACGGTTCGAGTCCACAGCACTGATAAGGAAATCGTAGTGTCTGGGTACAAAGACAGAGTGGAAAGAGTTGGCGCTGAACTTAGAGATTTCTTGACGCAGTATGCTGAAGTTGAAGAAACCGTTCCCATCAAGCACAATGTCATAGTTGACTATATTGAAATAGCTGATGCGTCTTGGTTGGGCAAAGTGGGTGACAAAGTGAGGGTTCAATACAAGAAGGGGGGCATCTGTTTGAGTGGGTGTAGAATCCATGTCGTTGAATGCAAGACCTTGGTCAACAAGCATGTGTCCTCTTTGGTCTATGAGCTATTCAAAGTCTCCAAACCTGGAGCGAAGTCCTTCTTCCAGGACAAAGAAGCTATGTATATGTCTGTCATCTTCTCTGACACCGGCTGCCTGGCCCAGCTGGCTGATGGGACAAGTGATAAAAAGGATGACCTCAGACAATTTTCCACCCCTGTTTATCTCCTGCAGACGCCTGATGGAGTTGAAATAGCTGTTTGCAAGGGAGACATGTGCAGCTACCCAGTGGATGCAGTAGTTAGTTCTTCTAATCAGAGTTTGAAGCTTGATGGAGGTCTTTCTGCAGCTCTTCTGAAGGCTGCTGGTCCTCAGTTGCAGGTGGAATGTGACAAACTGATTCAATCAAATGGGCAGCTCAAACCAGGAGACAGTGTCATCACAAACGCAGAGGGGCAGCTGTCCTGTAAAAAAATCATCCATGCAGTGGGACCCACGTTTGACTCAGAGAATCCATCGAAGGCTCGGGCACAGTTGAGAAAAGCCATCAAAGGGAGTTTAGAGCTCGCAGAACAGCACAGGTGCGTCTCTGTGGCTATCCCTACCATAAGTAGAAACCAAGGCTTTCCTCCCAACTTGTGTGCAAAAATAATCGTCACAGCAGTGAAAGAGTACTGTGATGAAAAATACGATGGTATTACCCTGAAGAGGATCCACTTTGTCAACAATGATGATCATCCTGTTCAGCTGATGGAGTCAGCTGCCAAACAGGTGTTTGGAAGCAATGGTGTCAGTCAGTCTCAGCAAACAACCTCTACCACGCCACCCGTACCTGTGAAACCTGTTCATTTTGATCCGAATTGCCTTTTCCAAGTGCAGACGAAAGAAGGTGTGGACATATCTGTTTTGAAAGGCAACATTGAGAACTCCACGGTAACTATTATTCACTAATTGCAGAGAATATATGATTAGATAGCCTTACAGATTAATCCAATTCATAATGGTCCCATGAGGCTTAATTGTTTTCATTCCAGCTGGGCATTGATACAACTTTTCTGTGTTCTCATTTTCAGACGGACGTAATCGTCAACACTGTGTCCAAAGATCTTGATCTAACCAAGGGGGCAGTTTCAAATGCAATCTTACGTGCGGCTGGACAAAACCTTCAGCAGTTGGTTAGGGCAAAAAATCTGAGTGCAAATATCGGTGATGTCATCGCTTCAGCAGGCTGCAACCTAAAGAGCAAAGAAGTTTTTCATGCAGTTGCACCTCACTGGAACAATGGCAAAGGCTCACCTGACAAGGTAAAGCCTTACATGATCTGAAAATGTGTAATCTATGAACTGGGATCAATGCAGAGGCTTGTGCTCAGATGTAGAAGCAGTGCAAACATTGAGTATTTTACCTTCAAAGATGCAAAACATTTGTTTCTTGCCTTCCAGATCTTGAAAGGGATTTTCAGTGAATGCCTGGGAAAAGCAGAAGACAACAGTCACACCTCCATATCCCTGCCTGCTATTGGCACTGGAAACCTGGGCTTTCCAAAAGACCATGTAGCCTCGTCACTGTTGAAAGAAATCTCAGAGTTCAGTAGTAAGAAAAAACCTAAGCATCTGAAGAAAGTCGTGATCGTTCTTTACCCAGGAGACAGTCAGACTATCCAGGTAAGACAAGAAATTAAACAGCAATAGTCACTTTGCATTACAATCAAGATTCTATGGTGTCACTTGTGATTACTGGTGGGAAAGTTAGCTTTGGTTGAACACTGACGGTCATGGAATGTTTGGATCATCAAAAGCTATATTTATGTAAATCTGTCTGTAGGTTTTTACTGATGAATTCAAGAAGCAGTTCTCCAACGCAACGGGTGGTGATGGGTCATCAAGTGCCCCACAAAGAGCAGGTGCGCACAGTGGTCAAATTTGATTTTCATGTGCAACGTGATACTTTTCACGAAGCCAATATATATATATATATACACTCACCGGCCACTTTATTAGGTACACCTGTCCAACTGCTCGTTAACACTTAATTTCTAATCAGCCAATCACATGGCGGCAACTTAGTGCATTTAGGCATGTAGACATGGTCAAGACAATCTCCTGCAGTTCAAACCGAGCATCAGTATGGGGAAGAAAGGTGATTTGAGTGACTTTGAACGTGGCATGGTTGTTGGTGCCAGAAGGGCTGGTCTGAGTATTTCAGAAACTGCTGATCTACTGGGATTTTCACGCACAACCATCTCTAGGGTTTACAGAGAATGGTCCGAAAAAGAAAAAATATCCAGTGAGCGGCAGTTCTGTGGGCGGAAATGCCTTGTTGATGCCAGAGGTCAGAGGAGAATGGCCAGACTGGTTCGAGCTGATAGAAAGGCAACAGTGACTCAAATAACCACCCGTTACAACCAAGGTAGGCAAAAGAGCATCTCTGAACGCACAGTACGTCGAACTTCGAGGCAGATGAGCTACAGCAGCAGAAGACCACGCCGGGTGCCACTCCTTTCAGCTAAGAACAGGAAACTGAGGCTACAATTTGCACAAGCTCATCGAAATTGGACAATAGAAGATTGGAAAAACGTTGCCTGGTCTGATGAGTCGTGATTTCTGCTGCGACATTCGGATGGTAGGGTCAGAATTTGGCGTCAACAACATGAAAGCATGGATCCATCCTGCCTTGTATCAACGGTTCAGGCTGGTGGTGGTGGTGTCATGGTGTGGGGAATATTTTCTTGGCACTCTTTGGGCCCCTTGGTACCAATTGAGCATCGTTGCAACGCCACAGCCTACCTGAGTATTGTTGCTGACCATGTCCATCCCTTTATGACCACAATGTACCCAACTTCTGATGGCTACTTTCAGCAGGATAATGCGCCATGTCATAAAGCTGGAATCATCTCAGACTGGTTTCTTGAACATGACAATGAGTTCACTGTACTCAAATGGCCTCCACAGTCACCAGATCTCAATCCAATAGAGCATCTTTGGGATGTGGTGGAACGGGAGATTCGCATCATGGATGTGCAGCCGACAAATCTGCGGCAACTGTGTGATGCCATCATGTCAATATGGACCAAGCTCTCTGAGAAATGCTTCCAGCACCTTGTTGAATCTATGCCACGAAGAATTGAGGCAGTTCTGAAGGCAAAAGGGGGTCCAACCCGTTACTAGCATGGTGTACCTAACAAAGTGGCCGGTGAGTGTATATATATATATATATATATATATATATGTATATATATATATATATATGTATGTGTGTGTGTGTCAAATGAAGTACCAAGTAAAGGTTTCTGTGCTAACAAAAAATTCATGTACAAAGACAGTTAAGACTGTATTTAAATTGGTGATAAAAACAAATATGTCACCCCTAAAATAATGCAAATACCAGTTGAAGGATTGGTGTGCTAGATCATTTTATACAGAGTCCCAGCTTTTTGGATTTGAGGTTGTATCTTGTCATGGTGTGGGGAAAAAGTAGGAAATACATTATTGTGCTTTTAAAGTTTCAAAAACAATGCTTTAATGTCTTTATGTCATCTGTCTCCAGGCCCTTTCTCTAAAATTGTCTCAGGTTCAGGAATACATGAGACCAAAATGAGAAATGTGGCTGTCCAAGTTGTTACAGGAGACATAACCAAGGAGTCCAGTGAAGTCATCGTCAACTCCAGTGATGTTGATTTCTCTCTGAAGACAGGTAAATATCCAGTGGGTTTCTGATATCTTCAGGTCAGGATAGTACCTGATTTGGAATCCCACTTGAACTCCACTTATTTATAATAATTACTTCACTTCTGTATCTTTTTTCCTCATTCACAGGGGTGTCAAAGGCTATCCTGGAAGCAGCGGGTCCGACTGTTCAGGCAGAATGCAAGACTCTAAGTAAGGAGGCACCTACACCTAAGAGTTGATTCTAAACCAAATATAAGAATTAAAGCCAAAATAAAGATTTGTAGAACTTCAACACACATATGCACACCCAAGGTTAAGGTTCAGATGTGTTCAGATCCACTGCCTTTACCTTTAGGTAACCAGCCCAACCAAGGCATGATATTGACCCAGCCAGGCAACCTAAAGTGCAAAAAGATCCTTCACGTCATTGGACAGGCTGACCCAGTTCAAATCAACATGGTTGTGAAAAAAGCGCTCCAGCTATGCCAGCAAAACCAGTTTACTTCCATCTCATTTCCTGCAATTGGCACAGGTGAGTTTTAATAGTAGAAAGAGAACTGTGCACATTTATAGAACAAAACTTTGACTTTTGTCCTGGAAGCCACTGTAGTTGTGCTCACAAATAAAAATCTGAAATCTGCAAAAATGCAGTTGACCTGATACGACTTGATGGTACAATCCCTTGGTTTAATCAAGACTTGGTGATGAGTTGGGTCAGGGGCAAAAGCTTCACTAGAGTCATCATGTTTTAGCCTGGTTGGGGTCCTTCCTCTTTATCCACAGCCAGCTGCTGCTTTGCTCAGCAGTCTCTGATAGCAATTTGATGGCTTTTTGGAGTCTTCGCACTCCCATTCCTTTAAGAAGTTTGGTTGTGGATGTGGCAACAAAACCCTTATAACCAACCTTAACAGGGAGCATCTGGGCATGCCAGCCATGTTGTTCTTCCTCAGCTGTTTTTTTCAGAGTATTTCAGGTGTTTCTACTCATGTGCTTCACCAACTGCAGCTTCCCAAGGTACAGTTGGTTCCACCATTTAGAGTTACTTCTGAGAGTTTGACCACAAGACCAGGTACAGCCTGAGATTAGTTATGATGATCTCAGGCAGAGATGAGTTTCTGATCTAGATCAACCTGCATTTACCAGTCCAGTGCAGTGCCTAGGAGGGTCACTTCCACTCTTGCAGCTGGCTTTGCTGGCCATTGTCGATGGAGTCGGTTGACTCCTTCAAACGGGAACTAAAAACTTTTCAGGCTTTTCCCTAACTGTCTTGGGGCTGCTATGATTGCTATAGTGTTGTTTTGGCCTTTTAAATTTTAGCTTTGTATGTACTTATTAACTGTGTATTGTTTTTGCTTTTTGCTTTTACTGTAAAGCGCTTTATGACCTTGGTCTGTGAAAGGCACTGTATAAATAAAGCTTACTTACTTACTTACTTTAACAAAAAGGGTGGTGTTGGATTGTTTGGATGTTGGAGGAGGAAGGGTACTGTTCGTACTTCTCCTTTTCAGGGTGATCACTGATTGCTGCAAGACCTGGTTGTGTCTCCAGGTGTAGTGGCCTTGGGAAAAATGGTTACATTCACAATAGGGAGATGCTGTTTGAAAGACAGCATTTCAACCTAATAGAAAAAGAAAGACCGGAAATATCATTCATTTTTGGCAAATTAGCTGGTATTTAAAAGGGTTAAGCTTAAGGTTTGTGTAATTTATGCTCTACCTGTTTCAGGTCAAGGCAATGTCCACCCAAGACAGGTTGCGGATGCCATGTTGGATGCAGTGATTGATGTCTTGAGCCAAAACATGTCCACCACCCTGAAGACAATTCGGATTGTCATCTTTCAGCCACCTATGTTAAAAGACTTTTTCAGCAGTATGCAAGAAAGAGAAGGAACACAAGCTTCAACTGAAGCTCCTCATGACAAAGGATGGTCATTTAAAAATATCAAGAGCAAAATTGCATGTGAGTATGGAGAAGAATGTGTAACTCCCTCAGCTTCCTCATTCAAAGAGCCCATTCCCAATAAACATGTTTTTTTTTCTTGTAGCATTTTTTGGCATCAGCACTGATGATCCACAGAAAGCAGAGGATATTGTAATTTACCCTCTGCTAGCGGACCCTGCATGCTTCCACATCTGCAGCGACTCACAGGCCAAAGTAGACTCAGCCAAGAAGTGGATCAACGACCTGATTACCAAAGAGTACATCACCGACTACATTGCAGACACCGGCATCCTAAATCTGTCTGATGCAGATCGCCAACAGATTGCTGACATCCAGAAGACCGAGAAGGTGGTTATAAGGATCCAAAGCAAGAACAACCAAGCATTGATCACCATAGAGGGGCTCAGCAGCAATGTTTACAAAGCCACTAAAATGATCAGTGAGATGTTGAAGAAAACCAGAGAGGAGGAGGACCTAAAGAACAAGGTGGCACTGGCTGGAGAAGTGGCGGACTGGCAGTACCAGCAGGCAGGGCTTCAGTTCCAGAGTTTTGACCTTTTGAGCAAATTCAAACTGGAGCAAGCATTGAAAAAGAATCAACTGAGTGTACAAGTGACGGTTCAGGGTCAGGATTACACCGTCACAATGCCAAGTGGACCTGCAACTGACAGCAAGGGACAAACCCTCCAGATAAAACGGACCGATAAACTTAAAGGTACATTATCTCGCATGTGTGCTTTTATAACTGTTAGCTTTGGTAATGCTGCCACAGAGTACTGCTTGAGATGGACAATGGAATGAAACTGTACAATAAGATTTTTTTATTTTGAGGAAAATTTAAAGTGAGTCAAAATCTAGTTTTGTGTCAGACAGTTAAGCCAGAGAAATGTAAGCATAATCTCAGAATTGCTGGATTAATTTTCAGAACTTCTCGTGTTGGTACACATTATAAGATAGTTGTAGACAAATAATTTGTTAAATTGTTAATTATTGTAATAAATACTTGATACTTGGGAAAACCTAATGGAATTTTATGTCTTATTGCCAGTTGAAGACATTCCTGATTTCTGGGACCCCATGCCAGCTGACAAATCCTGTCTTGCTGTCACCCTCCAGCCAGGGACTCAAGAGCACAATGAAATCCTGACTTTGTTTCAAGCCTCATGCAAACTCACTGTCATAAAGGTAATGGACAGTATCTTCTTCATTGTTTATTTTTTTTTTCTTTCTGAGGCAGGCTCTTGAACCTGCTCTTAAACTGCTGAACTCTCAAACTGATGAGTGTCGTGTCCTCTGACTGTGGAAGCTTGAGTCATTTGTAATCAGGAAACAACACTCAGAAACCAGTGTGAGGGCTTTAGACTACAGCGAAATCAGGACTACAGACAGAAGAAAGACGTGAATGTGGTCCATTTAAACCAAAGGACAATATACAAAGCCATGTTTCTGATGCTCTCGGTGGAGACAATGATATATTCACTATTTGTTCTTTGTTTTTAAGATTTTTAAGATCTTTTCTCATTTGATGGTACTTTAATTTTGTGTCAAGCGGCACAACTTTGTAGTGATTTGAAATGAGCCTCATACGGTCGCACCAAAATATATGTAGCGATTTGAAATGAGCCTCACAAGGCCGCACCAAAATAATACTTGGCGATTGGAATTTATAATAAATGTCTGAAGATTAATAATCTCAAATTATGACATTTATGCACTCGTTGAAAGGGGCACCACCCACCCTTAATGGTGGGAAAATAAAGAAAACAAAAGTTTAATTCAGAAATCAAACATCAAGTCAGTTTTAATTAATCAGTCTTAATTAATCAGTCTTAATTAATCAGTCTTAATTAATCAGTCTCAATTAATCAGTCTCATATCTTAAGTCGAAATTCTAATTTCAGGGACTCCACTTCTGGAAGAACACTAACAGACAGGAACTTAGAAAAATAATGATCTGTTTATTACAGGATAAATGATGGTACAACATACATGCAATAAATGATGGTAAGATAATGAGGATAGATAATAATAGGTGAATAAATAAAGATTCTGAGTCAGGCTAGGAGCACTAAAGTTAATGATAGTGAGTGAATATGCGCTAACATATTAACCTACACTAACTTGGTGTCGAGATAAACTCGGATGTGGATTTGGAGGAATCTAAGATTACCAGAATAAGAGGATATCTGAGTTATGAACGCACGAGACAGCACCAGCCCTCTTTAGAGCTCTGGAGGTTTGCATACTTAAGTGAGACTGGTCCTTGGGGAAGATGGAGCAGGTTCCGAAGGTCCGGGGCTACTGGCGGTTCGAGCGGTTCAGCTCAGAAGACGACTGAAGTCAGCCGAAGGATGAGCCAGGAGTTGCAGCACTCGGGCCCGAAGCAAAGCCAGCGCCTGTGGATCCTGTGGATGCTCGTTTGGGTACTTCTTTGGTCTCACTTAAAAACTCTGGCACAGAGGATGACCTGGGCCTGCTGGGTTGCGTTCAGAGGTGACTTTGAATCACGCAGAAAACTCAGAAAAACGAGGCTCAAAGAGCAGAGAAAACTTTCAAAAATGGCTTCGCGAAATTAAAGAAAAATCAATCAAAGGCTTAATCTTGAATTGCTATGTGCACAAAAAGTTGAAGTTTCAAAACTTGAACTAAGACGATGTTAAAGAAAAATCAACGTGAATCAACACGTGGCGTAAAACTTAGTAGACCAAGAAAAAGTTCTAAGAGAAAACAAAGAAACGCACCACAGAAGGGTGTGGGCAGAAGAGAAGGGGCATAAGAGCCGGGGACAAGAGAGTCAGCAGAAGAGCAGAAGCATAAGAGGAATAAGAGAGTGAGCAACCCCACTTCACTGGTTTTATCTTCTCACACTGGGTGTGTCTCCGGCGTGTGGGTGTGAGGAGAAAGAGGAGGAGGGGTTGTGTGGTCTCCAAGCAGAGATGAACTCGGATCTCTGATTATTTGATCTAACTTATACTTTTGGCTGGTAAAAGAGTCAGATCTGATACTCACTCACTATGATTAATATCATTGAATGCTAGGTTTCATGATAAATAATTTGACACTAAACACATATGAATGAAGTGTAGGATCACATCAAACATTCTCATTATGTTTTAAGTATCACATTGAACATGCTAAATTACTCTGAAATGAAACAGATAGTAACACATGTAAACTGTGTACAACAAAAGAGTAAACACATGTGAATGAACGTCATCATGATTAATAATGGATTCTAAATACTCACATTCAGATTATTCAGTGACATTATAACCACCTAATGGTTAAGATACTAAATAAATAACTAAAATATAAACCAAACATTTCTAAACTATTTCTGTTACTTAGAGTAAACTTAGGATTCATAGTCAATAAATTTAACTCTTAAAAGTTCATGAAACAGTCTGAAAAGCTGTTGGTCTAAAGAAACTAAAGAATAAGGATTTATTCTGTCAGATAAGATAACTTGGCTTCTGAAGCACATAGAAAAACGGGAAACATCTCATTTTAACACAAATTTCATGATTAGACAGATTAGTACATTGCTGAATGCATAAGATGTCATGATCAGTCATTTGTATTCTTTCACCAAAGGAATGCAGTCTTTATCAGTGTATGGTCGAGCAGGGTTTTACGACCGAGGTCTGGAGGTCAGTGTCCCCCCTTTTCCTAGGGTCCGTATGTTCACACACTTTAAGACACTAAATCTCAAATGGGAGATCTGGGTTGAGACGTTAATGTTTATTTAGATGGTCAGCAAATGGAGTCAGTTTGAAAGGTAATAAAACTCTGTCTCTGTTCTCCGAATTGACCAATCGTGAAGAGTCGGAGGTTTAGTCAACCTCCGGTTGGGTCACTTATTTAACCTGAAAGTGTAAACGGGTCTGGAAAGATTTATATCCTGTTTCCTGGGACCAGATAAGGAACTTTCCTGTGAGGAATGTGTGGGTTTCACACCCAGGGTTGTCTTGATTGCTACAACTTTTTTTTTTTTTTTTTTACAAAAGTGGTAAATGGGATCTTTATGCTGCTATACAACTATTGTTATTTACCAACCAACCATCTGGGTTTAAAGTGCTCTTTTTCTCTTTCTAGGTACAGAGGATCCAGAATCCCATGTTGTGGAAGTTCCTGCAAATAAAGAAGCGTGACATGGAGCAGAGGAACAAACACCAGAATAATGAGAAACGTCTCTTTCATGGTACCAGCGGAGATACTGTGGACCACATCAATGAGCACGGCTTTAACAGGAGTTATGCTGGAAAGAACGGTGAGAAGATGTCAACTATCAACTTTTATCAAGAAATGACGAATCCAGTTCAATTCTAATGACACTTAGAAACACATCAAGGCTCATTTCTGAAAACTTCATCCTGAAAAAATGAAGGGTTCAAAGTTCTCTCAAGGGTATCTGAAAATCTTTCTGCCTCTCTTCATTTTCTCCAGCTGCCCATTATGGAAACGGCACATACTTTGCTGTCAAGGCCAGTTACTCTGCCATCAACACCTACTCCAAGCCAAACCAGAAAATGGAGAAGTTCATGTACCTCTGCCGAGTGCTGACTGGGGAATACACCCTTGGACAGCAAAACATGGTTGCACCACCACTTAAGAGTGGTTCTTCGGTTGAGAAGTATGACAGTGTGGTGGACAATGTGACCAAACCCAACATATTTGTTGTCTTCCATGATGCCCAAGCCTATCCTGAATATTTGATCATGTTTAAGTAACACATCTATGCACTAACATTACAATAACAAAAATCAAAATGTTCAACACTGCCTCAGAACACTTTAGTCTGCACTTTTGATTTGACTACTTTGACTGTAGATGCTTGTTTTAAACTCAGAGCTGTCCTGTAAGGTAAGAGTGATTTCCTGGATTACAAACAACAAGTACTGATCAGAAGTTTCTTTGAAGTGCCTTTCAAGATTTCTGTGAACTCTGCAGGGCAAAATCAAAGGGGTGGAGGCTGTAAGGCTGTTGTTAAGTACCTGCTCACTTCCAACAAGTCATATGATAGTTGTTTATCAGGTTTACAATTACTTTGATTTTGAAAGAGAAATTGAAAGTTAAATGCCAGCCTGCACAAATAAAAGTTGAGAGAAGCAAACCAATGTGTTGTATTTAAGTTTATTTATTTATTTTTTTAAGTCTTGACATTTGTCTCCAGCATCTGCTTATTGTAGCAGCAAACTCATGTGTGATGCAAAGTCAGAACAAAAACTTTCTCCTGGTTATGTCTTTCCACAGTCAAACTCTGGCTTTACATAGTTATTAGATTACAAACCTGTAAAAATGACAACATGGAGAGAAAACACAACATTATCATTGTCAATTTCCTTATAAAGTCAACAAAATAGATGGCTTGTCTCCTCCTATGATGTATCACCAAAAGACCAACATTAACATTGCTACAGGATTATTGTATAGCCTTATAGATTCACTAGTAAGGCTTTACTGAAGTGCTTATGATGCATTATAAGAGTTTGGTTCACAGAGTGGTGCTGTTTAAAAACAAATAAAGACACTGCAGTCTTGTCATCCACCTATAGTTGAATGAGGACTTTTCCTCAGCTCTGTACCACCTCCTGCAGGTCATCTTGAACCAGTGCAGGTAAAAATAACTCACTGACACTTGACTGTAAAAACTGTGGTTTGCATGTTCACTGAAATGCTGATAAGTGATAGATTTATTGGTTTTGATCAAGATAAAAAGACTTAAAGCTCATTTTAGCACAAACTAGTTTCTCTCAGGAGCTTTAAAGAAGGAAAATAATTAGGTGTTGCATTTTGAGGATTTAGTTTTAGAGAAATATCTTTTGTAATCTGAAGGGATGTCTTTTTTATATTCACTTAGCTTATGCTTACTTCTTTCTCTGATGTGTTATTAATGTAAACATACATGAAATATAAAAATATGCAATGTAACCTAAAGGAACTAAAATTTGTGACCATGAATTATTATTAGGTTCGTGTTAGCCAATTCAAAATAAACACAAGCACATCCACACAGACTGTCACTTAGACAAAATAAATAAATAAAAAATAGGCTGTCATACAAGGAATTAAAATCTCGATTGTGGTCTGCCTTAACAACTCGCGCAAAGCGACTGAAAAGTTAGCCCTTGCACACAAATAGCTGTGAAACAACTGTGCTTTATGATTAAGTCTTTTTTTTCCCTCAAAGAAAATCTGCCGTTTCAATATGTCCAAGCATCCCAACTCATAGCCACGTTATTAAGGTATGTAATAAACAAAACCGTTTGTAAATCTGTTAAAATTTTAGCAAGTTAAGAGTATTTTGGATCATGCAGATTACTCACCTCCCGTTAGCCTCCATAGCGCGTACCAGAATACCACAGCAAGATGGCCGCCGTGTAGGGGCGCCCGTGACTCCTCCTCGAGTCATCAAGCCTTTTGCTGCGTCCGAATTGCCCGCTCGGATATTACATGCTACTGCTACATACTACTGCTAGATCCTACTCCTACATACTAAACACGTTGGCCCAATTCGGACACACTAGACGAGCGGTGGGGAAAGACGACCCCCGCAGGCAGAGAGTAGGTACTGCGCCCGTGCAGACAGTGGTAAATTACCACTGTCTGCACGGGCGCAGTACCAGTACAGTGTTTCGAGGCAATTTCATTTCCGGATTTGAAACGTGCGCCGGAGCGTCGGTTTCAGAGCGCCCATCACTAGTGGTAACTGAAGCCCCTCATCTGCGGGCCTGGCTGTAGTACTGCAGCTGTGCATTTTAATGATGGAATAAGTGAGCTTTACTTCCATGATGTCGCCACATATTTGCTCATAAAATGATTACTTGGGCAAATATGACACCATGACATGACAAAGAGATACAACCGCACATTTTTTAGAACAGTGTGTGAAGTTACATGAAACTTACATCTGTACGACTGCGGTCCCGCCTGCTGCTGCTGCTCCGACATGGTGCGCGCTGCTGTGACCAGCCGGCGTTCGCGACACATTTAAATAGGCAGAGCAGCTGGTGGCGCAGCATCACATGCGCTTCTACAACTTTTAAGAAGCCCGCGGTGCATTTTGGGTCAGTAGCATGCCCGTAGGATGCACCGAGACCAACCTACAATGTGGGCGTGTCTAGTATCTGAAGTAGTATCTGAAGTAGCATGCTACTCGCTCCGGTGGCCAATTCGGACATGCTAGATACTACTTCGACTACTACTTCGACTACTACTTGGCAATTCGGACGCAGCTTTTCTTTTGTATATCTACGGTCTACGTCATATTTGTTTTCCTATGATTGACACTTGATACAGCCTATGGGCTCACCCGGGGATTCGCTGTTTGAGCCGAGCGTCATCACAGCGACTCTCGGCGACTCTCCCGCCGAATTCGCACAATGGTTCCGCGCAAAGGGGGGAGGGCGTACAACGCGACTGCGCAGTGCTGGTTTCAGGAAGTGGAGGAAAAACGCGGAATTACCGAGAGCTTCTCGGCTTCTGATCCGTATACTGGCGGAAGGCGGAACCATTGTATATACAGTCTATGGTCTACAGGCAAACGCAAAACTGGAGTTTTCCAAAATCTTCAGAGTTTTCTAAAAACAGTTCAGTGGTTTCGTGTGGATGGCTGGCCAAAACGTATATTCGTTTTAGCAAAGACCTGAGCCTGCCGTTTCAAGACAGCCTGGTTGCTGCTGCCGAGGTTCACAGGTAGGACTTGAATGCAGAAAACTGAGTATTTCTCTTTATGTGTACTGTAACATCAGAAAAAAAAAATGCCATACGAACATGTAGACAACTGGAAAAACATGATTTTCATCGGAGTGGGTGTTTTAAGCAGTTAGTGTGAAGAGATGAGCTCATGCCAATAAATTCTCATTTTAACCCAGGATTCTAACCAATTGCTAGTCTTTTAGTTTGTAAGCTACCCAGACATACTAAATATAAGCCCATGAATCCTGATTTACACAATAATATTGAAGCTGTGGCTTGTATACTTTTGAGGTAACACTGTCTGCAGCTACCCATGCAGATCTGGATGGCAGATCAGTGCCATTCACTTGAGTGGTAACCACTGATGTTGAACAAATATCGTAGTTAAAAAAAACATACATCATACAGCTTCAATATTAATATCATATCTGTGTGAACATTTTGATAATTTGTTAAAGTAGTCAGTTACTAGTCACTTACTAAACTACTCAAGGCTAATTAAATAAATACCTTGAGGACTGTTTTTAACATTGGTGAGGGGCGCAGAGTAGTGTTGAGTGATTAAAAATATATGTCAGTGTATAACAGGTAGGTTATGTATGTATTAGATATTAAATAATGGTGTGCACCCTAAAAGTGCAAGTCAACCAGCCGCTTGACTTGTACTCTGCGCACAAAATTACCTTACATTGGCAGGTCAACCAGCTGTTTGACTTGCAAATCTGCTTCCTGATCGGGTAATTTGCAGGGAAATAAAGTACATTTTGTTAAAGAAGCAGCAACACAGTTTTACTAATAAACTTTTTCTTTTTTTTGCAAATGCATGTCTTCGTGTGGAAGTCAGAGTTAAACTGTGATCTAAATTCATATTGTGAATTGAATATTTAAATTCTCTGACATTCCTATGATGGTCTCTCCCTTTTATTGGTTTCCATGAGTACCTACAGGAGAGGTTGTGGTGGAACCAAACATGGATACACCGAATAAATCTATCACTTCTTAGCATTTCAGAGAATATGCAAATCACCATTTTTACAGACGAGTGTCACTGACTTACTTTTGCACTGGTTCAAAATGACCTGCAGGAGGTGGTAGAGAGCTGTGGAAAAGTCCTCAGTATCAGTACCACTCTGTGAACCCAACTGTTATGATGCATCATGAGCACTTTAATTAAGCCTTGTAAGTGCATCTATAAGGCTATACAACAATCCTGCAGCAATGTTAATATCGGTCCTGTGGTGGTAAACCAGAATTTTATCAAGGCACGAGGAAACTTGTCAGCTGGTGTTTCAAATTAAGAATAAGAAAAACTTTATCTATCCCCAAAAGAAAATTCAATAAAATCATTTATTCAAATTAACTTTTTAAGGAATGTGACGATAATAATGATGTGCTTTCTCTCCATGTTATTATCTTTACAGGTTTGTGATCGAATAACCATGGTAAGCCAGAGTTTGATTGTCAAAAGCATGACCAGAAACTGAAACAGTTTTTGTTCTGACGTCGCATCACACATGAGTTTGCTACTGCAATAAGCAGATGCTGGAGACAAATGTCAAGACTGAAAACAAACTTCAATACAACACAGTGGTGTGCTTCCCTTAACTTTTATTTGTGCAGACTGGCATTTAACTTTCAATTTCTTTTTTTTTTAAAAGCCAAAGCAATTGTAAACCTGATAAAAAAAATAAAAATAAAAAACTGCATCATATGGCTTGTTGGAAGTGAGCAGGTACTTTCCAAAAGCCTTACAGCCTCCCTGTAGACTCTGATTTCATTGTTCAGTGTAAGTACCATGTTTAGATTAAAGGTAAAACAAATTTTTACATTGTTTGATTCTGCATAGTTCACTACATTCATTAAAGGCACTGCATGGTTAACACTTTCAAAAGAAACCTCTGATCAATACTTGTTGTTTGTAATCCAGGAAATCACTCTTACCTTACAGGACAGCTTTGAGTTAAAAACAAGCATCTACAGTCAAAGTAGTCAAATCAAAAGTGCAGACTAAAGTGTTCTGAGGCAGTGTTAAAGATTCTGCTTTTTGTTTTTGTAATGTCGGTGCATAGATGTGTTACTTAAACATGATCAAATATTCAGGATAAGCTTGGGAATCATGGAAGACAACAAACATGTTGGGTTTGGTCACATTGTCCACCACACTGTCATACTTCTCAACCGAAGAACCACTCTTAAGAGGTGGTGCAACCATGTTTTGCTGGCCAAGGGTGTATTCCCCAGTCAGCACTCGGCAGAGGTACATGAACTTCTCCATTTTCTGGTTTGGCTTAGAGTAGGTGTTGCTGGCAGAGTAATTGGCATTGACAGCGAAGTATGTGCCGTTTCCATAACAGGCAGCTGGAGAAAATGAAGAGAAGCAGAAAGATATTCAGATAATCTCTGAGAGAACTTTGAACCTTCATTTTTTCAGGAAAAAATGGGATTTGGATCTTTTTAATGTCTTTGGGATTATAGTAAAAATTGATAAAGTGTCAGATTTAACATCTTCTCACCGTTCTTTCCAGCATAACTCCTGTTAAAACCGTGCTCATTGATGTGGTCCACAGTGTCTTCGCTGGTGCCGTGAAAGAGACGTTTCCCATTATTCTGGTGTTTGTTCCTCTGCTCCATGTCATGCTTCTTTATCTGGAGACTCTTCCACAACACTGGATTCTGGATCCTCTGAATCTAAGGAGAGAAAAAAAGCACTTTAAACCTGGATGGTTGGATGGTAAATAACAATAGTTGTATGGCAACAAAAAGATCTCATTTCACTGAAGCCAGTGATTGCCCTGCTGCCTTGAGTGTTAATGAATATTTAAGAAAAAATTTAAGTACCATCAAATGGGAAAAGATCTTAAAAATCTTAAAAAATAAAGAACAAATAGTAAATATATTATCGTCTTCACAGAGAGCATCAGAAACATGGCTTTATGAGTTTTCCTTTGGTTTAAATGGATCACATTCACTTCTCTCTTCTCCTTTCTTTAGTCCTGACATTGGTTTCTGAGGGGTGTTTTCTGGTGAAAAATGACTCAAGCTTCCACAGTAAGAGGACACGATACTCATCAGTTTGAGAGTTCAGCAGTTTAAGAGCAGGTTCGAGAGCCTGCCTCAGAAAGAAAAAAAAACCTGGAGAAGATACTGTCCATTACCTTTATGACAGCGAGTTTGCATGAAGCTTGAAACAAAGTCAGGATTTCATTGTGCTCTTGAGTCCCCGGCTGGAGGGTGACCGCTAGACAGGATTTGTCGGCTGGCATGGAGTCCCAGAAATCAGGAATGTCTTCAGCTAGATAAAAGACATAAATTATCAAGTATCAAATATTTATCACAATGATAAACAATATTTTATTTTGTTTAAGTATATTTGTCTGCAGCTATCTTATAATGTGTACCAACACAAGCAGTTCAAAGATTACGCTTACATTTCTCCAGCTTACTTGACACAAACTTGGGTTTTTGACCCACTTTAAATTTTCCTCAAAGTAAAAAAAAAAAAAGTACCATTTCATATTATCATTGATTTCAAGCAGCACTCTGAGACAGGGTTATGAAAGCTAACACAGTTATCAGAGCACACATGCGAGATGATATACCTTTAAGTTTGTCGATCCGTTTTATCTGGAGGGTTTGTCCCTTGCTGTCAGTTGCAGGTCCACTTGGCATTGTGACGGTGTAATCCTGACCCTGAACCGTCACTTTTACACTTGGTTGATTCTTTTTCAACGCTTGCTCCAGTTTGAAGTTGCTCATCAGGTCTAAACTCTGGAACTGAAGCCCTGCCTGCTGGTACTGCCAGTCTGCTACTTCTCCTGCCAGTGCCACCTTGTTCTTTAGGTCCTCCTCCTCTCTGGTCTTCTTCAACATCTCATTGATCATTTTACTGGCTTTGTAAACATTGCTGCTGAGCCCCTCTATGGTGATCGATGCTTGGTTGTTCTTGCTTTGGATCCTTATACTCACCTTCTTGGTCTTCTGGATGTCAGCAATCTGTTGGCGATCTGCATCAGACAGATTTAGGATGCCTGTGTCTAAAATGTCGTCAGTGATGTACTCTTTGTCAATCAGGTCGTTGATCCACTTCTTGGCTGAGTTTACTTTGGCCTGTGAGTCACTGCAGATGTGGAAGCATGCAGGGTCCACTAGCAGAGGGTCAATAACAAAATCCCCTGCTTTCTGTGGATTATTAGTGCCACCGCCAATGAGTGCTACAAGAAAAAAAACATGTTTATTGGCAATGGGCTCTCTGATTTTGAACAAGGAAGCTGGTGGAGTTACACATTCTGCTTCATACTCACATGCAAGTTTGCTCGTGAAACTTTTAAAGGACCATCCTTTGTCTTTAGGAGGTTCAGTTGCAGCTGGTCTTGCCTCTCTTTCTTGCATACTGCTAAAAAAGTCTTTTAACATAGGCGGCTGAAAGATAACAATCCGAATTGTCTTCAGGGTGGTGGACGTGTTTTGGCTCAAGACATCAATCACTGCATCCAACATTGCATCGGCAACCTGCTTTGGTTGGACATTGCCTTGACCTGAAACAGGTAGAGCATAAATTACATTGTAAATTACATTTACCATATTTCTTTTTCTCTCAGGTTGAAATTATGTCTTTCAAACAGCATCTACCTATTGTGAACGTAACAGACAACTTTACAATTTAAAACTGGATTTCTGATAACAGCCGACATGTACATGTTTTTTTTTTTTTTTTTTAATGGACACCACGGCAGTGACTAGCCTAGAGCAGGTCTAGATTTCAGTAGTACCTACTAAAATATCAGAGCCACTAAAATATTGACAACCATAAGTCTGCTTTTTGGCAGATTTCAGATTTTTATTCGTGAACACATACAGTGGCTTCCAGGACAAAAGTCAAAGCTATACTCAATAAATGTGCACAGTTCTCTCTTTACTATTAAAACTCACCTGTGCCAATTGCAGGAAATGAGATGGAAGTAAACTGGTTTTGCTGGCATAGCTGGAGTGCATTGTTCACAGCCATGTTGATTTGAACTGGGTCGGTTTGTCCAATGATGTGAAGGATCTTTTTGCACTTCATGTTACCTGGCAGGGTCAATATCATGCCTTGGTGGGGCTGGTTACCTAAATGTAAAGACAGTGGATCTGAACTTTGACCTTGGGTGTGCATATGAGTATTGAAATTACACAAATCTGAACTTTGGCTTGAATTGGTATATTTGGCTTAGAATCAACTCTTGGGTGTAGGTGCCTCCTTACTTAGAGTCTTGCATTCTGTCTCAACAGTCAGACCCGCTGCTTCCAGGATAGCCTTTGACACCCCTGTGAAAAAAAATATACAGAAGTGAAGTAATTATTATGAATAAGTAAATAATTACAGAGTGGAGTTCAAGTGGGATTCCAACAGTATATCAGGTACTATCCATTACACATTAGAGCTGAAGACATCAGAAACCCTCTGGATATTTACCTGTCTTCAGAGAGAAATCATTGTTACTGGAGTTGACGATGACTTCACTGGACTCCTTGGTTATGTCTCCTGTAACAACTTGTACTGCCACATTTCCCATTTTGGTCTCATGTATTCCTGAACCCGAGACAACTTTGGAGAAAGGGCCTGGAGACAAATGACATAAAGACTTTAAAGCACGGTTTTTAATCTTTGAAACCATAATGATGTTAAACTTCGACCACTGTGTGCACCTGCTCTTTGTGCGGCACTTGATGACCCATCACCACCCGTCGCATTAGGGAACTGCTTCTTGAATTCATCAGTAAAAGCCTACAGACAGATTTACAGAAATATCTGATATAAAACGCTCAAATATTACAGACAAGCAAAAGAAACACATACTTTACTTACTCCTACTGTCAACATAGTATTTAATGATCCCTAGATTCCAGGACTGTCAGTGTTCAACCAAAGCTAACTTTCCCACCAGTAATCACAAGTGACACCATAGAATCTTGATTGTAACGCAAAGCGACTTTTGCTGTTTAATTTCTTGTCTTACCTGAATAGTCTGACTGTCTCCTGGGTAAAGGATGATCACGACTTTCTTCAGATGCTTAGGTTTTTTCTTGCTACTGAACTCTGAGATTTCTTTCAACAGCGACGAGGCTACATGGTCTTTTGAGAAGCCCAGGTTTCCAGTGCCAATAGCTGAGAGGGATATGGAGGTGTGACCATTGTTTTCTGCTTTTCCCAGGCATTCAGTGAAAATCCCTTTCAAGATCTGGAAGGCAAGGAATAAATGTTTTGAATCTTTGAAGGTAAAGTACTCAATGTTTGCACTGCTTCTGCATCCGAGCACAAGCCTCTGCATCGATCCCAGTTTATAAATTACACATTTTCAGATCATGTAAGGCTTTACCTTGTCAGATGAGCCTTGGCCATTGTTCCAGTGAGGTGCAACTGCATGAAAAACTTCTTTGCACTTTAGGTTGCAGCCTTCTGTAGCGATGACATCACCGATATTTGCATTCTGATTATTTGCCCTAACCAACTGCTGAAGGTTTTGTCCAGCCGCACGGAAGATTGCATTTGAAACTGCCCCGGTGGCTAGATTAAGATCTTTGGACGCAGTGTTGACGATTACGTCCGTCTGAAAATGAGAACACAAAAAAGTTGTACCAATGCCCAGCTGGAATGAAAACAATTAAGCCTCATGGGACCATTATGAATTGGATTAATCTGTAAGGATATCTAATCATATATTCTCTGCAATTAGTGAATAATAATTACCGTGGAGTTCTCAATGTTTCCTTTCAAAACAGATATGTCCACACCTTCTTTGGTCTGTACTTGGAAAAGGTGATTCGAATCGAAATGAGCAGGTTTCACAGGTACGGGTGGTTTGGTAGAGGTTGTTTGCTGAGACTGACTGACACCATTGCTTCCAAACACCTGTTTGGCAGCTGACTCCATCAGCTGAACAGGATGATCATCATTGTTGACAAAGTGGATCCTCTTCAGGGTAATACCATCGTATTTTTCATCACAGTACTCCTTCACTGCTGTGACAATCATTTCTGCACACAAGTTGGGAGGAAAGCCTTGGTTTCTACTTACGGTAGGGATAGCCACAGAGACGCACCTGTACTTTTCTGCTAGCTCTAAACTCCCTTTGATGGCTTTTCTCAACTGTGCCCGAGCCTTCGATGGATTCGCTGAGTCAAATGTGGGTCCCACTGCGTGGATGATTTTTTTACAGGACAGCTGCCCCCCTGCGTTTGTGATGACACTGTCTCCTGGTTTGAGCTGCCCATTTGATTGAATCAGTTTGTCACATTCCACCTGCAACTGAGGACCAGCAGCCTTCAGGAGAGCTGCAGAAAGACCTCCATCAAGCTTCAAACTCTGGTTAGAAGAACTGACTACTGCATCCACTGGGTATCTGCACATGTCTCCCTTGCAAACAGCTATTTCAACTCCATCAGCTGTCTGCAGGAGATAAACAGGGGTGGGAAATTGACTGAGGTCATCCTGTTCATCACTTGTCCCATCAGCCAGCTGGGCCAGGCAGCCAGTGTGAGAGAAGATGACAGACATATACATGGCTTCTTTGTCCTGGAAGAAGGACTTCGCTCCAGATTTGGAGACTTTGAATAGCTCATAGACCAAAGAGGACACATGCTTGTTGACCAAGGTCTTGCATTCAGTGACATGGATTCTACACCCACTCAAACAGATGCCCCCCTTCTTGTATTGAACCCTCACTTTGTCACCCACTTTGCCCAACCAGGATGGATCAGCTTTTTCAATATAGTCAACTATGGCATTGTGCTTGATGGGAACGGTTTCTTCAACTTCAGCATACTGCGTCAAGAAGTCTTTTAGTTCTGTCCCAACTCTTTCCACTCTGTCTTTGTACCCAGACACTATAATTTCCTTATCAGTGGTGTGTACTCGAACCGTCCTCAGTGGCTTGTTGTTGGCATTCTCCAATCTGCTCACCAAGTCCTTCCAACCTGGCGTCTTCAGGACATTACTGTCTTCGGCTTTTATGTTTAGAGATACCAGCAGCTTTTTCAGATGACCTTCAGCCTCAGTTAAACCTCTGTCAGTAACGGCTAGCAGCTGAACCTGGTTTGCAGTAATCTCAAATGCCGCGTTTATTTTTTTGGATGTGAGGAGGGTGTCCGTAAGTTTCTCAGGTTCTTCCTGCTTTAAGAAGTCAAGAACAGGCTGATCTATTTGCAAATTTTGTCGTTTTAATGCAACTGATGCTTCACACACGACTTTGCTTGCTGTTAAAATCTCATCATTTAAGCCACTTACTACTAATTCTCCACTCTCTTTTCTGAATGTCATTTTCAATTCTGGGTACACAGAAAGCAGTTTGTCCTCAAGACCATCTTGACACAGGATGTGGTAAATCGATGGGGCCACTCTGATCTTCTGGGTTACACTAAATCTCTCTCTCTGTACCCTTTTGAAAATCACGTTGATGACTTCTCTAAGAGTTTGCTCAAGTCTGTTGATGTCAGTCATAAGGCCAACCACTGATATGACCCCACTGGCTTTATCAGACACCACAGTGACATCCTCCTCCCGCAGTGTCGCTCTGATCTTCCCCTCGGACTCTTCCCATTTTGTTGGTTCTGGCCGAAGTTTCAGAAATTTGAAGTGTGACAAAGCTTGTGCTAAAGCTGACTTCACGGTTTCCTTCCACTTTGTGAGTTTGTCTTTGGCATCCTTTTCTTGTAGCAGCGAAGGAACAGGGCTCAAGAATACAGCCGATCGGCGGAGAATGACACTGCAAAAGTGTTCAGCTAAGCACTTTTGAATAGTCTCTACTGCTGGCTGATGGTCACTCAGGTATCTCCAGAGAGCTTCATCAATGGGTTCAGTGACAGCTGGAGGGAGTTTGAGTGAAGGCGAGTCTTTGCCATAGAGGGCTATTCCTAGTGACTCGTAGAAAGGATAAACTCTGATCTCTTCCTGTCCGATGTGATGCTCTTTCTTTAAGATTTTTTCAATGACTATGATTAAAGAAATCACATGTTAAAAACAGAAATGGCAGCTTTAATTCAAATCTAGTACAATGTTTATTTAATATCCACATAGGTATATTTAACAAGTATCATAGATGCTTTACCTTTCGGATCACTGAATGTAATGATGGCAGACTGCTCCACTTCTTTAAGCTCAACATTTTCAACTTCTCCACCTTGATTCTCAAAATGAAGACGCAGGAAATCTTCACTGATATTTTTCACGTCATCAACCAAGACTTTTTTTGTGGCTTCAAGAGGCCGAGCTGTATATCCCTTCTTTATGAAGTTTCTGTTTTGAGGACATCTCATCACAAAATCATTATTTACTGTGAAAGAGAGAGAAACGGTAAATTATTGAGTCAGATTTGAAAGGAATAAACAACTTTCAGAGTCCTTTCGTCAAAACAAAGTAAGAGACAGTCAGTATTTTCGAAAATCTGCACCTTTTCCACTCTGGAAGGTCACCAAAGCACAGGAGAGGCTGGGAATAATCTCCAAAGTGTAACTCTCCGAGTTGACTTGAAACTCTGAGTCCTTCAAAACATTTTCCACCAGCATCTCCAAATACTCCTGCTGTATAGACTCTGGTAACTTCTCTATAACAGCCACAGTGGAGCAGACCTCGTCTTCCACATCTTCTTCGGCCTCATCATCTCCACTTTTGACCTCAATCTGAACTCTGGCTGCCGGCTCAGGTTGTTCATTTTCAGCAGCATCTGTTGTTGATAAGACATGAATGTTAAGAGGCTGAAGAGACATTTCAGAAAAAAGTGAGACCAGCTCAGCAGCCCTGCTCTGCAAATATCAACATCAGTATAAAACATTGAAAAACCTACGTTGGTCAACTGCTACACAAAGGTGTGGTCTGATGTATCAGGGCACATGTTAATATCAGGTGAACACAAGATTTAACACTAAATTATAACAAACTCTGAATAAAACCTTATTTTGAAAGAGAGTTTCAAAGAACTGTCCACAGACTCATAGAAAATGACTTGTACTTCCTCTGTCTGGTCAGATTCCTTACACACCCGTGTCTTATATAACACACGCAGAACTGGATATAGAGCATACCTGCACTAATCTGATAATAAAATCATACTCTGCCCTCAAAAATAGTGTTAAGCTATCAACATTTATCAGAACACAGGGCTATTGCATGTCCTTTTGCCCCTTTTTATGACAAGGTGTGAGCAACACAGATGTAGTTGCCATTCCAGATATAACCACTGTGACTAAAAACAAGCTTGAAACTGTTAAACTGGTACAACTTAGTTTCATGTTATTGGTGTTTACATGATAGATACAGATACTGCGCTGGGAAAAGCAGAGACAGAGCAAAATGAGGAAAGAAAAGAGGGCAATGAACCAATGTGCTGGGAGAATGGAAAAGTGAAAGTAACTTGTGCTTATGACAAGTATTTCTGGGGGAACTCCAGGGTTTAAAAAAGCTGTTAGCCTGAACATGTGATCAAGAAAACATACTCAACCCTTCATGTAGGTGGAGCAGAATATCATATTCCTTTGAGCTACAGCTTGGACTATGAGTGAAGTAAGCAAGAAACTAGAACGTACAGTTGTTTTTTAACTGTTAATTGACTGAAAACCTGAAGATATTGACACTGAACATTGATTTAAATACAACTGTATTGATTCAAGATTATGAATGTAACATATTAAAAATAGTTATTCTAGATACATGGTGGGTAGTGCTACCATGGCTACAGATACTCATCATTCTCCTAAACATTTCACTTAAAGCTCCTGAGATGACTTTCTTGTCTTTTGTGAAATAGACTCAAATTGATAACACTGCCTTTTTATGATACACAGACACAGAAAAACAGGTTAAGCAGCAACAAGGTTAAGGATTTTTTTCTAGCCATTTTAGAGCCTGAGGCTGGTGCAAGAGGGTAGGTGTCAGTGAAGCTGTCAAAGAAAACCCTTTTTTTTACATTTTCAACAATAAATCATCACAAAAATGATAAGTATGACTGTCTTGAATTGGCAACTTGAAATCTTTTCTGTCTGGAGACACTACTTCAGCATGTAGGAGACAAGATAAGCAATGACTGCTTTGTCCACTGGAGGGCACCAAAGCTGACACAAACTGAAGGAGGAGCTTTCACAGGAGCTTTAATTGTCAATTCCACTGAAGTTTAATTCAAAAACCTACATTAATACACTTGAAATTCAATGTAAATTTACCTTTAATAAATGATAATAGTCACTTTATAGACAGGGATATAATATCTGTGACACTAAAATTACTATTCTTGAAGCGGATAGTGAAGACAGACAGGTATGCACACATACCCTGGCCATCCCTACCTCAGTTACAAACATGATTTGAATTTCACAGCACAGTCTTGTTAAAGGGGTAGAGGTGATGTCATTGAGCAATCGTATGTTTATGTGTTTGATTTCCTGTAATTCTGCAATACCACAATACAACACTATCCAGAGAAAAAAAAGGATTTTAGGTCATGTTGCCCACCCCTAAAAGTAGACAGAAGTTCACATACTTCATGCCACCCCTGCATAAATCTGTGCCTCATTGCCCGGGCCACCTCAGACATGAAAGTCTGGATCTGCCCCTGTCTCCAGTACACAAAACTACAAGAAAAAGTGTGCTCTTTTAGGTCTGTGTGGTGACACACTAGCAGTGACTTGTGGCTTGTTAATGAATGCCAACTTATCTCCACATTTTCCTGTAAATAGCAGAATATATTTGTTTTGGTTTGCGCTTACCTTTGTCTTTAACCTGATCTGGTGGAACTTCCTGCAGAAAATGGGGAGAAAAGTGCATTCTTGTCACTTTTTAATAACTTTTATGACATTTTATGTAACAAGTTTCTTATGGCACAACGCCCTTAAAATCAGCTGGTTTGGAACGGTTCCCAGTCAGCCAAATTATATGTGTCTGAGATCTGAAACCCCCTTAATATGTAAAGGGGACTGGTGTATTTTTATCCACTGACTTGCTTTGTTGTTTGGTCTGGAGGTAGGCGAACAGTCATCCTCAACACGCCTTTATCCAAACGGATCTCATGAACCTCTTTCGCCAGAACATTTTGCTGGTCTAAAAAAAAAAATGAAAACCCACCAAAAAGTTAGTCAACTTCTTAAACAGCAAAGTTATACTCGAATAATCGACTTAGAGGACACCCGAACTTACCCTTCTGATTCCGGAAACGCAACACCGCGGTCTCGCTGCCATTCTCGTAGTCGACTTCACAGTCGCCACCGTTGGATTTCTTACTCTGAAAATACTTTACTAGTTTGATTTTCAGCCTCGGTACTTTGTTTTCTCCAATATCGACGATCACCGGGTACGAATATGCGTCAGCCATCGTCGCCGGTCAGACCCGGTCTGCTGTGTCCCGCTTTACTTTCACTTTTGATTTCCAGAAAATGAGATAGTTCCTGTTAAAGCTGTTATTGTTACGGGTCACTTCTTGTGGGTTTTGATAAAGAAATAAATAATGCGTATTAACCTTCAGCAGTATCTATCAGTTTTAGAGTGTTGCTGCTTGTTTTTCATGAATAAAGGTCATTTTTATGGTGGTGGTCACGCATTATCTATTTTTTTTAAATCAATTTTCACCAGAGGGGCTCCATAATTTCCTTATACCTTGATAAAATTCTGGTTTACCACCAAAAGACCGATATTAGCATTGCCACATTGTTGTAAAGCCTCATAGATGCATTTATAAGGCTTTATTAAAGTGCTTATGATTTATAAAAAGTTGGGTTCACAAAGTGGTACTGTTTAAAAACTAGGTAAAGAAATTGTAGTCTTGACATCCACCTATAGTTGAATAAGGACCTTAACTCAGATAAACTTCAACTTAACTTTAAACTTCAAATAAACCACATATGAGGAAATGAGAAATGTTAGACCTGGGAAAAAGGTGAGATGGCAGCCACCAGATGGTGCCAGAAAAGCCATAATGTGAGTATGTGTCTACATGTGTGAGCAACAGTGTTTATACCAGAGAAAATCTAGAATGTGTGTTGGAGGTGGTTGGAAAAGAAATGAAAAAAGTAGACACTGGTTTGATGTAAATAAATTATTTTTAAATATTGAAAAAAACAAACTTAATGCTATTCGGTAACAAAGGCAAAAACATTGATACATTGGTGAATATTGAAGGTATTGAAATTGATAGAGTAAATGAAATAAAACTTTAAGGTTTTATTATTGATGATAAATTGACCTGGAAATCGCATATTCATGGAATAAAAGCGAAAATAGCAAAAACGATTGCCAATTGTTAAACAAAGTAAAGGACTACTTTGATAATAAAGCTTTGTAATTCTTGTATAATTTGATTATTGTTCCATATCTGACCTACTGTATTCAAGTGTGGGGAAGTGCATGCAAAACTTCCATGCAGCCATTTTTCATTTTACAAAAAAGAGCAATACGAATTATCAGTCGAAGTCAATACAGAGATCCTTCAAACCTATTATTTGTTAAATTGCAGTTGTTGAAATCCATTGAATAAGATTTCAGCTTGTAGCAGATTATGTAAAAAGCTCATAGGAAAGTTTTACCAGTCAACATCCAGAGCCGATCTGAAAAAAGAAAAAGTTGTAATAATTTTAAAGCATTTGAAATATTTAAAAAGCCAAGATTCAGATCTAAACTGAAAGATCGCTGTGTTACAGTGAGAGGAATACGTTAGCGGAACAATCTGAACGAAGAAACTGAAGAAGCTCTATCATGTTTATCTTCAAAAAAAGAGTGTCAAAGCCAGTATGTTGAGTAAATACAGGGAATATGTTCATCTAAGTCTTGGTATGTTTGTTTTATGAAAAAATGTGAATTAATGTGGTCTTTTCTGTTTGTTTTGTGGGTTGTTTTTGAAAATAAGAAATATTGAACTGTAAAAAGGCATGTTGGCCTGCAGCTCTTGTTTATTTTTATCATGTGTTCAGTTGATTAATATATTATGAATATTCATTCATGTTTGAGATTTTTTCTTGTTTGTATTGAGTGTTTTATATATTAACTGAATGAAATAAGGTGTGAAAATGTGTTAGTTTATTAGGTAAGGTGAATTCCCTGCTGACTACTGACACTAAGATGGATGTGTGTGAATGCAGTCCTGCAAAAACTTCACATACTGCAAGTCTCAAATGAGTAAATGTGTGACAATTTGCCTCTCTGAGCTTGTTAGTACTGGGCTTTCAATCTCACTGTCACAGACTCTTGTCATGCAGGGAACCTTTTCTCAGCTGTGTGGCTCCACCTGCAGGTCCTTCTACATCAGTGCGGTTATATTCTCCCTGACTCTTATCTCTAGTTGCGAGGCTATAAAACCTGAGATCATAAACGTTGTAGACAACAGGGAATACGTTTAATCGCTGCTGCTCTGTCAGCGATCTCACAATGATTTCAGGACATTTGTAAAATGTGGTGTTAGTCATCTGACAATCCACAACGGAAAATCAATGTGAATGAAATTGTGGTTTAGGGAGAAATATGCAAGAGTGAAAATACATCAATAAAAGCCACGTCAAATAAACAAACAGAAGTAGTTCCCTTTACTTTGGAGGTTGCTTCTTGGGCGTTTTTAGGGTTGAATTCATCTCCCCTCCCACTGGCTCAGGTATGCGTACCTGCCTTTTGGAAGTTTCAACACGGAAGTTTTTGGGACTGTCAAGACTCAGCCCAACGCGACACCTACGCCGTGAGCTGCAAACAGGCTCTCTTACGTTAGTTTCTGTACGAACTGCTACCAAAGTTACTTAAACTGATAGGTAAGAGAGGAAGAACCCCTTGGACTTAAGGGAACCAGGTCTCCGGCCGCATGGCGTCCGCCGGACCGATGACACCCAATGGCCCGGCGGAGGGAGCGGGGCTCAGGGAAAGCCTGTCGATCCACGGCAGCATGGAGAAGCTGAATTCCTCTGCTGTCAACCGCATCCTGATGGAGTTCCTCATGTACTTTATCAGATCCGTGTTAGTCTTCTACCCCGTGTACCTGACAGGGTACCTGGGCCTCAGTATCAGCTGGGTCCTGCTTTGCATGATGATGTTAACCTGGTATAGGAAAAACCGCCAGTGGAAAGACGCCAGGATCGGAACCGCCATCACTTTTGTGGATAATGAAACAGAAGTGGTGAGCAAGGAGCTGGAAAACGCCCTACAAATGGCATCATGGGTGAGTATTTAACAAATGTTTGAGGCAAAAACATCCTGCTTGTTCCAGGTTTGTTGAACACAGGTAAGATTATGAAGTGCCTTGCTCAAGGGGAGTTCAAACCAGCAAACCCATGAAGTCCAATTTTACATTATTGACCTCTTCCTGTGTGTTTTGGACATCTTTTCTGGTCAAACAAAGTGGCCTTGTTACCATTTTCATCCTGAAATCACACAAACACACATTGGGTGTGTCAAACTCTGTTGCCTTGACTACAATATTTGCATGTCATGAACTGAAATGGGCTCACCCAGCCAAATGTGCTGTTATTTAGCTGCTTTCTGTGTCTCCACGTTTGGTTACACCACACCCTCTCCTGTAGTGTGACTCATGGAAACCAAGAGAAGGGAGAGACAATAAGAGGGGTTCCCTGTGTGTCAGAGGAATGTAATACGCACAGTAAATATGAATTTAGCTGACATTTTAATGGTGGGAGCAGCTTATCTTGATGCTTGCAATCTGAGTGTGCATGTGACTCAGAGAAAGAGCCCAGATTTATGAGAAAGGTTTCTAGTTAAAAGTCTGAATTTAGGCTATCAGACTTTACAACTCTTCTGTAAATAGTAGATGACTTTTAGAGACATGACAAATGAGATGACAGGCAATTGAATTTCCTTTTCGGTGATTAATGAAGTTCTTATTCTTACATTCATGTGAGTAATAATAATGTTAAAAAAGATTATTTTAAGATATTGTGTGCCAAAAGTAAGACCCGAACTGCACATTATGAGTAAAAATATTGCCAATGGAATAAGGAAAAATAACTTTAATTTTTTCTTATTTCAATAAACTTTGATGCTGGGATAGGCTCCAGTCTCCCTGCGAACACCAACGGGAAAAAACGGAAGAAAATGGATGTATGGATGATAGCAATTGTGCTTCCATCACCACCACGTGTTAGAGGCAGATTTTTGGGGCTTGTTTCTAATTTCAGTTTCACTTTTTTTTTCCTTCAAAGATCCACTTTCCTGATGTTGAAAAAGTTGGCTGGGTGAACAAGGTACAGTATCAAGATCAATTCTTCCTCTTTCTTCTTACTGATGTTATGAAATATACTGGTATACTATACTATATTCCATATACAGATAGTTTGATATCATTGTAGATATCAAAAATGTCTCTCTGACTAGTCGTAATTACTATTTTGGATATCTGCACGTGTCATTCAAGATATCTGCAACGTTACTGTGACTAGTCAAAATGACAGGTAGAGATATCTGTAGTTCAGTTTTAATCAGGCTAGAAAACCCACACCTTTCAACACATTTTCTTTGTTTTGCATCTGCAGACTCAAAAAAACATGTAACACATGGAGGCTTGAACCGTTCACTCTGTTCACAGTTCAAGTGAAATCGTGTTTACTCATGGATCGAGGTGTGGACTCCAAGTGTTGATGTGTTCTGCTTTGCTTTGTGTGTTCAGGTGTTGGAGCAGGCCTGGCCTTTCTTTGGGATGTACATGGAGAAACTCCTTAAAGAAAACATCCAGCCGGCTGTCAGGCAGTCGAGTCCCGCGCTCAAAATGTTCACTTTCACCAAGATCCACTTTGGACACATCGTAAGTTAAAACTTCCCCTTTTTGTTACTTTCGTTTGTCTTTGTCACACCAGCCTTTTAAATCCTCCGGCATATGAGTGCATGTAGCCACAAGGTTAAGAACTTAGGGAAGAGGGAAAATGACCCATAATTATCTGTGCAAACCAATTTAATGTCACGCCCTTTTAAACAAGTATGTCAACAAACGATCAGTACAGTATCAACTGACATGAAGCTGGATCACTGGATTAAATTAACATGTTTTGTGGGTGAGCTGAGCAACCCAATAAACCCGACAAACAGAACCAGTAGTGACTAATAATACTCAAGATAAAACAGGATATAACAGCCTGTTAAAAGTTTGTGGGATTAAAAGTAATTCATGCAACAAAACAAGAGATTATTCCGTGATGTAAAAGCAGTGAATTAAGGGGTTAAAAGTCATTCATGCACTTGCGAGTGGTTCACATTCAGAGATAAAACACCTCACAGGTGTTTTCTCAGCAGTCGCTCTGCCTCATTACCTGTAAACACCTGTTGATGTCACTTACGACCGACTTTTCAGCGTTTATTTGTCTGCATGAATTAAAACGGTAAGAGTCCATCTTCGGTAAATTGCTGTTTTTACGAGCAAACGCTGCGGTCCTCCTTCTCTACCTCCTGATATACGAGCCTTGTGATGTTTACAGTCTCCAGGGTCAAGGAAAAGAGGATAGGCAAGGTCTTTTTGGGATATATCCAGGGTTTTGATTTGCTCTGTGTAGGATGATGCAGCCACTCCTTTGACCTAAGAGTGATTTTTTTTAATCCCTGATATCAGCCTCTCAAGATCACTGGAATGAAAGCGTACACACATGAAGTGGATCGGAGGGAGGTGATCCTGGACATGAACATATGGTCAGCTTGATTCTTTTCTCATGTTTGTGCATATTGTTGTTAAATTGGTTCGGTTGCCTTTAATTCGAGATCAATATAAACTCTACATAGAGGGAGTGTTTGCAGTTCCCTGAAGTACTTTACTTCTGTTCACTCTGCAGTTATGAGGGGGATGTGGACATCGACGCAGAGGTGCAGCCGCCCATCACAGCTGGCGTAAAAGGATTGAAAGTAAACACTTTATGTTTGTTTTTGTTTTTTTAACTCATCACTATCAGATGTATTAACTTGCTTTGCTAAAATGTTCCTTTGCTTTGTAGCTTCAGGGGATGATGAGAGTCATTTTAGAGCCGCTGATTGGTCAAGCACCCCTGGTGGGAGGTGTCACCTATTTTTTCATTCGACGACCTGTGAGTGCCCGCAGACATTTTTCATAGATGTCTTTATTTAAGCTGCAAGAAGTTCAAATGTGTGATGCGTATTATTATTCCAGACTTTAGAGATCAACTGGACTGGGATGACGAACCTTCTGGACACCCCTGCTTTCAGGTTAGTGGCCTAACAGTCAGGACAGCGTCTTTGGTTTTAAAACTGTCCTGTAAAGAGAGGTGGTCGTAGCTGCTTCATGAAAGAAGATGAAACAAGAAGAAAGTCCCTGACCCCCACAAAAACTCATGTTTCAACTCAGTGGTCAGTGGTAGCCCGACTATCACTGGCTGAAGAGCATTAAGTGGAAATGTTTAGATTATGAAACTTCTGAGACATGTCTTTTGTCTTAAGGCTCTCTTTAACTCTTTCTTCTCCAGTTCATTGTCAGAGGAGACCATCATGGACATCATCGCCTCACTCATGGTGTTACCCAACCGCATGTGCATCCCCCTTATAGACCAGGTCAAAGTGGACCAGATGAGGTTCCCACTGCCCCGAGTATGAAAATTTTCTCTATATTTTGTGCATCAATCAACATCTTATGGTCGGCAGCGTTCAGGATTTTTAATGTCTGATTCATATAATCGGTTTTTAATTTTTCTTCCATGTGATTTCTGCTCCTCAGGGTGTGGTGAGAGTCCACCTGTTAGGCGCCAGAGACCTGGTGGCTAAGGACACCTACATGATGGGTTTGGTGAAGGGCAAATCTGACCCCTATGCAACCCTGCGAGTCGGCAATCGTCACTTTCAAAGCAAGACGGTCAAAGAGAATTTGCACCCGACGTGGAACGAAGTGTATGAGGTAAAACCCAAAGTTCTTAAAAATGTGTGCCTGTTTAAATGATTAATTATAAGAGAAAATTGACGATTGGCAAACATTAGTGAAAATCCTCTTTGCAGCTGAGGATGCTGAATTTATGATTCCCAAAAAGAATGTCTAAGGACGGTTTTCCTCTTCGTCTCGGTTCACAGACTTTGGTTTTGGGAGCAGTATTGAGCCTGTGCAGTGACTTCTACTCTAGAGCCATGTTTGCTTTTAATGATGCACCAATATTGATGGCCTGGGGATCACGGCCATCCATTATGGGTTGTAAGCCTTGTCCCTTTGTACAGAGATTTTTTAGATGATGAAATCCTCAAATTCTTTGCAGTTTTACACTGAGGGACATTACTCTGGAATTGTTGAAATGTTTACTCTCGCAGTCTCTCACATGCTGAGACTCAGCCTCTCTTTTGTGGCCTTTTCACCCTCATGTGACCAACCTGTTTCAGGATAATGTACTGTTATTAGTTGGGAGGGTTTTTCTAGAATTGCACAGCTTCTGCACTGTTTTGTTGTTCCTGTCCCAACTTTCATGAACACTGTTGCAGGAAAATATATAATGAACATGTATTTTTTTTACAAATGGTTACAACTGAATATAAGGGGCCACATAAAAGAAGAACATTTGTTTAAGATATAGATTTTTTTAAATTCATTTATTCATAAGTCATAATATATTGAGAATAAAGTCATCATGTTATGAGGACAAAGCCAGGACTCTAAACAGATTGTGTAAAAAGTTGTGTGGTGGAATACCCCTTTAAAACAGTATTATTCTGCTTATAGTTGATTAAATCCAGGACTTTGTGCTTATGAGAAAAGTACTGAAAACTACATTTCTTTTTTTTTTAAATGACCCAGAAAATATCTGAAAATTTCTCAGAAACTGTCATTATTTTGTCAATTTAGTTTGTCATTATTCGGTCAATATTCTGTTGTTTTTATAAAAAATTGAATCAAGTCAAGGATTTAAAACGATTTGCAAACTACCGAATTCTGTTTTAAAATCTAGTTTCCTAACTTTGAAGTTGAGTTTGTAGAAAAACAGTGAAATTATGTTGTTGGTGCTTCTTTTAAAGCTACAGTCACACTGACCTTATAATGCATATGTGTTTTTTTTCAACCCTGTACTCATGAATGTATGCAGAACACTACTGGTAGACCGACCCACATGTCCTCATTTGTGAGACTTTACAGATTGAAGATCTGTTCAAAATACTGTTAGGAGGAAACAGTTTAGAGGCCTGAGTTTCCTTTATAAGAAACAACAAAGTACTCTATTTTTGATTCCACTTTCAGAAGACCTGAGTGCATTTTTCAGGTGTAATGTCCATATGGACTCTGCTCTAGATGCTTTGGAAATACTCATTTAGTGGAAATAGGTTTTAACATCTGAGAAATTGAATAATATTAACTTTTGGTAATCTGTTTGCAGTTTGTCGTCCATGAGGCCCCGGGTCAGGAGCTGGAGGTGGATCTGTTTGATGAGGACACCGATAAAGATGACTTCATTGGAAAGTAAGAAACAGCATGAGGAAGAAGTGATATCTGTTTGAGTCACATGTAAAGTATTTAAAGTATCTAAGTAACTAAATCCCAGCCCAACATTCCAGTGTGAAGCTGAGTAATCCCCCATTAAAAAAAAGCGATTTGACATTTTGGCATTTTCAAAAATACCAAAGTTATCAGTGAGAGAAATCGTTCAAGTTTCTGGGGAGGATGTTCTCTGGAGGAGCATTTTGACATACTGGTGCTGCAGGCTGTGTTTTTAGTGCTGAAAATACATGAGTTTCATTTGTTACCGCTGTGAAGCTGTCATCTTTTCTCCTCTTTAGGTATCATCTTGATTTAGGAGAAGTGAAGAGGGAAAAAGAAATGGATCAGGTGGGTTTAACCATTTTTAGAGAGAACCTGAAATGTGGCAGAAGCAGATTTTTTCCACATGTACACAATCCTGATTTTTTTCCACCAGTTATTCTTTACCTCGAAGAACTCCCCTGTAGGATTTTTCACGTTGATGAATAAATCTCTCTTTCTGTCACAGTGGTTTCCTCTGGATGGGGTCCCGAGTGGAGAAGTCCACCTCAAGCTCCAGTGGTTTTCCCTCAAGACTGACCCCAACCTTGAAACAGAGGTAGCCTCATTGTCAGCTGAAGAAATCTCTTGATTTTTATACAGAATAATCTCAAATTTGTTTTCCTCCTCTTCAGAGTACAGACAACTTTGCTTGCGCCATGCTCGCAGTATATCTGGACAACGCGACAAACCTACCAGTAAGTGTAACTAGGCCTGAACGATATATCGTTTGACTATCGTCATCGCGATGTACGTGTGCGCGATAGTCACATCGCAGAGCCTGCGATATTGGAGGTGAATGAACTCATTTAATTTCAAGGGTAACCGACTGAGAAACACTCCATGTGACTCTGCATGTGCTGTGCAGCGATCCACCAATCGCCTTTGTCCTTAACTCAGTTGCCAATCAGACTCACTTCTCAGTTGCCAATCAGACTACCCTGCCAGCTGTCAATCAAAATCAGGGAGGAGAAAACCCACCCCTGCACATGTTCTGCACATGGAGGGAGACGTGTGTCCGCTGAGAATTACTTTCGGAACTTTACTCATGACTGTTAAGCCCAACAAATAAGAACTGTATGGGTTTTAAATTGTACATTTCCGTGGACCACTCTACTATAAGCAGTGCGCGTTTTGCGAGGTGCATGCAATTCTCGGAGGACATGCGTTTCTCGGCACAACACCGCTAACAACAACAACAACGATCGCAAAATGAGCAACGAACAAGCGAAAACCACCGAAAATGAAGATTTGTTGCCAAAAAGAAAAGGAAAGTCAGTTATCTGGAATTATTTCGGTTAAAAGAAGGATGATGTCGACCAAAACACGTCTTCTGTGTTCACCTGTTGCCACAATAACGTCCCAGCACAATAAAAGCTAAAAATATCTCTGAGACAGACAGAAGCCGTTCTACTAACATTCACAAAAAGAGGTAAGATCAGAGCAGATTAACTGTCCTCAAGATTTCAGCAGTGCAGCATAACATTAAGTGCTATTCAGGTCATCTGGTGAAAATACTGTATTTTTAATATCGCAATATATATCGCAGGGTTGAAAAAATCGCAATATTATTTTTTTCCAATATCGTGCAGCCTTAAGTGTAACCCAGCTAGTGGTGTTGTTTTGAAGACCACGTGATGCAACATGGAGAGATCAACAGGCTGATTTGTCTTCTTTTTTTGTGTCCAGAAAGACCACAAAGAGATCTCAGATCATAAACACGGGAAGCATGAAGCTCGGGTAAGAGTTCACATACACATACAGGGTCTCATCATGATCTTATGTCTGCAGCTCCTTATCTGTACAGCATACTGTTTGTTTTTGTACAAGAGTGGAATAAAAATGTAATAGATCATGTGAGGGTTAAGTCAGGCAGTAGTCAGATCATCTTTCACTCTACTGTTGTGGATTCAAAAGCTTTTTTTTTTTCATCTTGATCAGAGACAATAGCGTCAGTCAGATCAGGTGTTTACTGTTGTTGCTCCAGGTGCGCTTGTCCCTGTGTGCAGCTGGTATTTCCTGTCGGTCTGGTGCATGCCTGTCATTTTATGTGGGTGTGTTATAACCATCCGGTGTTTATGTTACTTTATTAGTCCTTTTAACCTGAGACTGTTTCCTCTGAGTGTCCCAGACTGAAGGAAAACGTGAGGAAAACTGACTTATTGTTGTGGAATTTGATCACTAGATGAAACTCACTGTTTTTGCTTTTCTCAAAATGTTCAAATTGTCACGTAGGATACATTATTGCCACTCTTTGTGACTAACGCTTGTAAACCCAGTTCACCTGGTGATCGATGCAAAAGCAGTAAAGTTAAAGAGTTACCTGAGGACACTTTATAACCCTGACATGAGGCTTTTACAAGCTCTTCAGACCTGAACTGACTTGAACTGTTATCAGCAGTTACAGACTTTGGCTGCCATCTGCTGGACGATGCTTGAAAACACAGTCAGAGACGAGTGCAGTGTGACAGGAAAACAGTACTTATGTTAAAGTTCATGTTAAAGTAGTTCATTGCAAATATAGTTAATGATTAAATCAGTCATTAAAGGTATTTTGATAGCTGATGTTTTTAGCTGACGGGAAGGTTTGGTTTATTGAAAATTACAAGAGATTTTGATCAATTTACAGGTGAGAAACAAACTTGAATTGAAATCTCAGTACAGTCATCCACCAAATGATATTTCAGACTGCCATCAAAACATTCACTGATATTTCATCATCTCAGGTGGATGGATATTTCTGATATGCCTCACACCAGTATCATCCAAATTCCTCCTCAGTGGGAAAGTTTACCCCTCATTTTTCTGCCAGCACACACATCTGTTTTAGGTGCTTCAGATAGTTTAGTGTTTTAGCCTGTTGAGCATTAGGAGCTGGAATGTCAGAACTTCATTTTAACTTATTCACTGTTTTTTGTTCTGTTTCAGCTAACAAAGAAACACGCCGGACCCAGCTCTTTTGTGGAGTTTACTGTTGATAAGGACGTGCAGAAAAGCAAGGTAGAGCTTATAGTTGATAACATAATCAGAATCTACTTTAATGCACTTCTTCATGTTTGTTATGGTTCTTCATTTTCCTGATTTTCTTGCAGGTTGTGTATACATCCAAAGACCCCAAGTGGGAGGAGGGCTTCGTCTTCTTCGTGCACAGCGTCAAAACACAGCAGCTCTGTGTTCAGGTTTGTACTTTTAATTTTCTTCTCACATCTTATCGCAACAAACTCATAATAGATCGCTGTTCCTTTAGGTGACATTGCATATTTTGTGTCCCTGTGTGTCAGGTCAAAGAGCATGAGAAGAAGAGTCAGCTGGGTATTCTCAACATCCCCCTGAGTCGTCTCCTCAACACCTCCAACATGAGTCTGGACCAGCGTTTCCCGCTGGAGCGCTCCGGAGCAAACAGCCAGATCAAGCTGAAAACCACTCTCAGGGTGAGTAAACAATGCAGGAGAAAACACATGTATGAAAACCTTGAACTGCAAACATAGATCAGCATCACACAGTCTGTGTAGAGATACAGGAACTTTGTGTCATTGACTTTATCCACGCTCTGAATCCCCTTTAAGATACTTTGCCTGGAAAAACCTCCACCCAAGATCGTCCTCGAACCTCCTCCACATGTCAGACAACAAGGACTACAGACCAACCAAGGACTCAATGTCCCCGGATCTATTCCTCCCGGTCCTACAGCCTCTCAAGCGTTTCCCTCCAACAGCCAAGCTCCAGCTCCGAACCAGCCGACAGATTTCCTGAACGGCTCTAACGTGGACTATCTAAATCACCGGCGTGGCTCCTTCCTGGCCTCCGAGACCTACAAGTCCCCGTCCTCTGCGACAAACATGCGCCGCTACGACTCCCACAGCCTGCTGTCGGAGAACTCCATCGCCTCTTCACGATTCGATCTCTCGGACGGGGCCTCGTTTCCAGAGTGAGTGCTCGCTCTCAGATTTTAGCAGCTTAACCGCACAGATGTTAGAGCAACTGTGGAAATGAGGACATGCTTTATCTCTACAGAGCCATCAGGAATCATCAGGGTTCATTTGGAGAAATCAACCTTACCATACGATATGCCACCCTGAGGAAAAAACTCATCGTCCTGGTGAACTCCTGCAGGTAAGTCCATTTACAGAGCAGAGATATTAAGATCTTACATCTTGCACTCACTGAATATGCAGCCATTAAGTTAGTTTTGCAATATTAACATGACTTAATGACTTAACTTTTGTTTAATAGCCCATGAAGGTAGAATTAGCTCAGTATGACTTTTCTAAACCCCAGTTTGCGTGCTGTGTGAAATGGTGATAAAAACAGATCTGGGTTGTTTCTTGATGATTTAAAGCCTGTATTTAATTAACGACAGCACAAAGACATCTTATTAAATGCTAAAACTGAAAAGTTTCATAGTGAACAGTATATGCCTACTCTAAATTTGATGTCAACAGCATGTTTCATAAAAACAGGAGAACAAACTCTACAAAAAAAGTGTAATTCTAAGAGAAACAGCTGCAGGAACACCCCTTGAATTATTAGGTAAATTTGCAGCAGGTTAGTAAGATGTCCAGTTATGTTTCTGTAAAAAAATGTTGCAGCTAAATTATTTAAAAGAACTATAAAAGGAGAATACAATGCCAGCAATAATAACCTGTAATGTGTGTTTGCTGTCTGCAGGAACTTATTCCCCTGCAGTGAAAACGGCACAGACTCTTACGTCCGCCTGTATTTGCTCCCCGACCAATCCTGGAGACATCGCAAGAAGACGCATGTCAAGAAGAGGACAGTCAACCCTTCCTTTAATGACAAGTAAGTTTTATCAGACACTTTTCTCTGTTTGTCTGGAGTGTGTTTTTTCTGATGTCCTCTTTTTTTTATCACAGGTTTGAGTTTGATGTGTTACTTGAAGAAGCACAAACCAGAAAGTTGGACGTGTCAGTGAAAAATAACAAGATGTTCACACGGGACAGGAAAGACATCGGCATGGTCGGCAATCTCTCTAGTTGAAGATTCATTTAAATAAAGCAAGACTTTAAATGCTCTCTACTGTTGTGCAGACAACATAGTCTTATTAGTAACAGAGTTTTCTTTTTCCTGTCCTGTCAACAGCTGCTGCTCGAGTTATCGCAGATGGATCTCGTCAAAGGCGTCTCACAGTGGTACGGGCCCAGTTTCCTACCTAAAAACTCCTTTATGTCTTTAAAAGAAATTAAAATGTGTTGATTTTTTTAATGTAGAAAACCACAATTCAAAACAGCTACATGTTTCAGCTTTTTTTGTGATATGAAAAACTAGATTAAATTTTATATTTATAAACCAAGGCTGATGAATAAACAGGTGCAGCTCAAAAAAGTTACATGTCCCAAATTTTTCCGATTATTTTATTCAATGAGTGAAACCTTCATATATTCTAGATTCCTCACACACAAACTGAAATATTTTAGGCTGTTTTTGTTTGAATCTTGAGGATAACGACTTGCAGCTCATGAAAAAGGTGCAGGTGTTCAGAGTTAATAGCTGGTTAGCGCATTTGTCAGGATCGAAAGAACCAACAAGAAGTTTTACTTTTTGAATTGAATTATGGAAAAAAATTAGACTTTTTCGGGATATTCTAATTTTATAAGCTGTCTTACAAAGTTTGTAAGTGATTTGTCAAGTCCACTACAATAAATAACTGACTGTTATTGCTTTACTCACATCTGAATGGTAGAAAAAATCTCTCTTACTTGTTGATAGTGACTGCATAGAAATTATCTACAAGTTTAGATTATGTTGAATAATATCATTTACTCTCATTAATATTTGATTCCTTTTTCCTCTGTAGGTTTGAGCTCACACTGCCAGGGGTGAAGAAACTCAGCTAGTAGGAAGAGCTGTAAAACTTGTGCTGCTGCTCGAACTGCAGTTTCCTGACCTCTGAAGGGCTGAATGTTGACCTGATACATGCTTGAAGTTGCATTTTCTTCCTTCCTATCATCGCAGACCAGAGATGGATTTTTCTGAAATCAACTCTCAGCCCCTTTCTAGATTCACTGTAGAGTATGTCGACAGGCACATATAAAAATATCCCAGATAACACCACTACTTAGTGTGTTTTGTATCATGAATATCTTCCATGGCTTTACAATTATCAGCAAACGCTCAAAGTAAAAATGCAAAAGCTCATAATTGTCTTGAACAAATATAGTTTTAGAAATTATTTTTAACCTTTATTTATCCAATTTATTAAGCTATTGAAAATAAGGAGCAGAGACTATATTCCTCTAAATTCTAAGATTACATTAAAAGGAATTATAATTTATCAGAATATTTCTTGTCTAAAGGGAAACAAGCTTCTACGTGTGTTTTGGATATTCTTTGTGAGAGGTTTGCTTCATGGGAGTTAATGTGAGCTGTACTTATCCTTTTGTATTTTAATGTAAATAGCTCTGTGAATAGTTTTTATTTAATATACTAAAGCAAATTATTCACGTTATAAAAAGCCAAGTAAAACCAGTTAAACACAGGGAACTGTGCAGTGTGTCTTATAGCTACAGATAAAGCTGCAACCAAGCAAGGCATATAAGATCAAGCTCTTCAGTTTAGGGCATCATGACGACACTTAATGTACCATCTGATTAATAATATTAAAAACACTCATCTTCTGTTGCTGCTGAATGTTTATAAGTTTATAATAAAACTATTAAATGCTGATTTAGAAGGAAGCACTGGTTTGGACATTGGTTTTCTTTAAGGGTGTTAAAAAATAATTTTGTCAAGACTGAACAAGATCCTGTCCTCTGCACAGTCGAGTTACGTCTCAACAAGAAAAAACTAAAAAAAAAGACTTGATTGTGAAATGTTTCCTTTATTGTGAATGTTTTTAGCATAAACAAGGCTACTTCTCAGGTGGCACAGTGGTTTAGTGGTTAGCACTGTCGCCTCACAGCAAGAAAGTCCTGAGTTTGAATCCGGCTCAGGGCGTTTGCATGTTCTTCCTGTGTCTGCGTGGGTTTACTCCCGGTACTCTGGTTTCCTACCACATCCCAAAAACATGCCCAAGTGGGGTTAGGTTAATTAGCCACTTTCAAATTGCACGTAGGTGTGAATGTGAGCAAGGATGGTTATTCGTCTCTATATGTCAGCCCTGCGATGAACTGGCGCCCGAAGATGCTGGGATAGGCTCCAGCCCCCTTGCGACCCCTAACGGGAATAAGCGGTAGGAAATGGATGGATGGAAGGCTACTCCTTTAGTTGCTCAGATGTTGCCCTCCCTTTGTTTCAGACATCAAAAATTAAGACATAAAAATGATCAGTCTTGTTGCTGATGGTCTTGTTTGTGCTGAGTTATTGTGAAAAGGCATCATTATGAATTTCTGTGTATTTCAAAAATGTAAAAAAAATTCCCTATAGGAGCTTTAATGTTGTAGTAGCGTAGTTTTTCTCAGAATTCCGTTATTTATTTTATATTATTATATTTCAAAGTCATGATTTTTATTTTTTCCCCATTAACATTATTTCCATTAGTAGTGAATGGGTGCTATTTCAAAACTACCCTAAACCAAAGGATCAGACCATAGACTGTATATACTCTTGTACTGTAGATGTATCTATACTGTATATTCTGTATACAGTCTATGGATTTGATTGTGGATGTGTGGACTAAACCACTAGACGATTAAGCAACTGCGTGTTCTTTTTTTTTTTCAATTAAAATAATACAAAGATAACTTTCAAGTTCTTAACTTTACAACAGAAATTACTTGCCAGAGATGTGGCATCTTTTTTTTTTCTCTAGTGTCAAATAAAAAACGAAATATGATGTAAACAACGGTTGTGTCCCCCCCGCACAACGCAGACTGATGGAACAGTCCATCTCTACCAGGTTTGACCAATTAATTCAAATCGTCTGAACGTTCACTTCAACCGACCGTGACTGTGGTCATGTTATTCTGCGTCTAACGCCGATACGACGTTTATTGTATGACTTGAACAAGAGAAAAGCTTCATAAATACAGTCAAATCTCTCAATTTTAACCGTCTTTTACAGTCTAACAGTGCTACACGTCGTACCGTTGCTAAGCTAACTACTGCGTCCATGGCAACGGCCATAGTAACCGGACAAGAGTTTCGGTTAAAACTAACATAAGTTTATGATAACTTGACAGAAGTACCGACATGAGTTCACCAGAGAAAAGAATAAAAGTTACTGAAAGTGTGACATTTGTAACACCAGACACACCTCAGGTAAGTTTTGGAGACAGCGTAAAAGTTGGAAAATGTGTTTTTCGTGAGACCAGAACTGTTTACTTCCTGCTCCAGGTCAACTCTCGAAAACCTTGGATGGAAACGAAACATCTGTTTTCGCCACTAAGGGAGATGACTGAAGAGACTCAACCAGCTATAAAAAGTGAGTTTAGTTAATAAAATGTTGATTTGATTAAAAAAGAGTTATGACATTGAAAGCACGCTATATAGTAGGAATACCATGAATGTTTTGTCTGTGCTGTAGGGGACAGTGATGGAGCAGACAGTGGGACCACTAATGAAGAAGTCCAGAGCCAGACACTGTTACAGAGAAGAAAGCTGCTGCAGCGATTTGGAACCCCCAAGCGCCGCAACAGCGTCCTCACAAGAGCCAGAAATCAGGCCAAGAGGCAAAAGAATCTCCGTGAAACTCTGGTTCAATTCATATGGTGAGTCACACAATAATTCGTGTTATTTTAGCTAATATTTATCTTTTAAATGAAATAAATGTGCATACAAAATCATTTGAAAAGGGCCTTTTTAAATCACTTTAATTGGGAAAACAGTTACTCTGTATTTGTCAGTAAAATGACACTTGGTTTTCTTATAATTTGTGACTCAAAGCAAGTCTTTTCACTGTTCATTTAGCCAGCCTGGAGAGGATAGTGACTCCCCACCATGCGATTCCTCGGCAGAGGAGAGACGTAAAATGGTAACATGAAATACACACTTAAAACCATGCCATTATACAAACCCTCTTTGTTTGTTTACATGACCAAAGTTGAGACATTGTTCTCTTACATGATCGTTTTAAACTGCATAAGCAAACATTTTCTGTCACCATTGTGTTAGTTTTATTTCTGTAACTGATTGCACCGTCAAGCGATTGAATGCATATTTCTTCCTTTTTCAAGTCTTTAAATACACATGGACAAACATGTGAAATTTTTGCTCTAATTGCATTTTGCGGTGGCCGAGAACTGCCACTGCAGCAAATAAAAAAGAATCCAAAACGGAAGTTACCAATGCAAAAAAAAAGAAACCGAAGCCCGCTGCAAATAAAAAAAAAGAACTTCCGTTGTGGCTTTTATTTTTGAACAGTTTCTTTTTTTACTTGCAACAGTGGCGGTTCTCAGCCACCGTAGAATTTTTTATGTGCAGTGTTGGTAGATTCATGAATGAAATAACTCAATTGAAATTTATTTATTGTAAATGAGGATCTTTCTCTTATTGAGAGGCTGTCAAAATAGACGTTTGAAACGATCAAGTAACCAGCAATCAATCAAAAACGTCACATGGATACATGCCATTGTGTCTGTCCTGTCAGAGATTTAACTACTTCATCCAGCACGGGATAGACCTGGAGAATGTGGCTCCTCTTGAAGACTCTTGGCTGGCAAACATGAGGGATATGATCCCTGACCACCTGACGAGCCTGAGGACAATAATGGAGCCTCTGGAGAAGGAGATCAAAGAGAACTACTTGCACAGTGTCAAGACAGCAATCGGTATGTATTTAATTACTCCTACAAAGCTTATGAGAGATTTTAAGCTCATTTTTGATCAGGATGCATTTGGCCCTTAAAACAAATCACCTGATCAAGGAATGAAAAGTTCTTATTTCTGTTTTATTAACAAAAGCAACTGTAGCAACAGGATAATTCATGCTGATTTGATAACAGTGTTGGCTTGTGTTTGCTTATATGTTTAGTTTTTGAATCAATATGTTTGTGATTGCAGTGAGATATACATTCAGATGTCCAATAGAAAAGGACGATGTCAGTATGGAAGATCGTCCACCCCACAGGCTTGAGTGAGTCTGCAGTATGTGATATGATGTTGCATGTTTATCCTGTGTGTAGCATTAGTTGTCTTTACTTACTTGCTCTGTCCCAAAAATTCTACTGCCATGTCACATAGACTATTGTAACCATTTGTCGTATGTTTTCCTGTATATTATTTTATCTTTTACTGACAGAGTGGAAGAAGTGCCAAAACCTTGGAATGAAGCTTTTGTTTTTGCACGAAAGAGAATGAATTTAAAGCTTCACTCGATCAACCCCACCATGCTAAAGGTGCAGATTCTTTGGCATGTTGATTTCAAGTAAGTATGTCATGGTAGGTTTCACTTGTGTTAAGGTCATCGAAATCTAACTTAACCCTTTAATGCCTTTTGTATCATATTTGATACATACTTTTATGATAATTCTATCAAAACAATATGATCAACAAATTACCATGAAAAACACCTGAATACAGTCTGATAAATGATAAAAATGTCCGCTTGTGGTTTATCAGTTTCCAAAAACATCTAATATATCAAACAAGATATATATATATATGTGTGAAATTTTAAGGACATTTTGATTTTTTTGGTTTTCAGTAGTAAGTAAAATAAACATTTCAGCTCCAAAAAAATTGGAATTTTCTGACCATAATTTGTGGTTTCAGGCATTCAAAGGCTAAATTCAAATGTTACTGAGTAAATTTCAGTCAAAGTTGTTTTTAAGAATATACAGTTTGACAGAAAAATAAATTGACCATTTATTCCAAAAAAGCAAGAAAATGTAAATATTTGATCATCCTTGCTTTTGAAGTTATAAGTACTGTCAAGTATTTAACAAGCATACATTTACACATAAGCAGCATAATATGGAGATGCCATGTGTTTGTTTTTGCAATTGTGATAGGCTTTAATGCAACATTTAAAAATTAGTTATTGAATATCTTTGGCAGCATGATTAGGATTACACAAGAATCACAATAAAGTGTTCACCATTCACAACTTTTTTCACCACTTCCACATCTTGACTTATTCTCCTGCATGTCCTCACAGAGACTTCCGTCTGATAGATGTAGAAGAGTTCCACAGCAGAGAGGAGTCCATGGAGCTCTCTGTGTTTAAGGAGATTGTCCGCAGACATGTAGATAAAGCACGAGGAGTCCTCCTTAATAAGTAAGTACAACTATCAGCTATCACAAACAAGTGTGATAAATGACAAGAAGAATAACGATTTTTCAATTTTTCATAGTTTGATGCGCAGGTGAGCCCATGCTGTGACATTTTGAGTCACAAGATTTACTTTGATTAGGATTTTTCCCCCCTGTTTAAAAAGTACAATGCCAACACAGTGTCTGCATACAGGTGTGCCGCTCACTTTTCAAAAGTTCTTCAAAAGTCCAGCTGAATAAAATAAAAAAGCAAGTTCTTAAAGCACATTTGGTATTTCAAGAGCCCGGGGATTTTGGATCTGTGGCAGAAACTACAACTCAACAGCCAGGAAGTAACAGAAATGTAATCAGCGTGGCACTAATGTGATCAACAATGAATTATGCTTTTTTTATACAAAAAGATAACATAAACCCACCGATTCTAAATATACAGCATTGAATGGTGTTTTGCATCATTTGTTTTAACTTGATAGCTGTGTTTGTTATTTGTGTGCTTGATTTGTATAAAATTGGGGGGAAAGCAAAT